ACCTATCATACAGTAAAAAAATATTTCAAGATTAAAAAAAAATAGTACATAGTAAAAAAGCGGCAAGACTAATATTTATTTATTTAGTGTTAAAAAATTAAAATGAATCAATCTACAACCTACATTCAAGACTAATATTTATTTATTTAGTGTTAAAAAGTTAAAATGAATTAATGTACAATCTACATTTATGATGTGTTTTGTCTTGTTCTTGCAAATACTTAAATGTCTTTCTTTTAAAAGATCCTAATGTTAAGCCATCAACCCGTAATTCATTAAGTAACTCGTTCCAATCCTCCGCTCCTGTCAATTTAAAGGTAGACTGGCTAATAGTGGATTTTACTTCAGACAGATGAATTTCTCCTCTATCTCCTAAGATCCTACCACGGCATTCGGATATCAAGGTCATGTAATTATGAAGTTGCGTAGGACAAAGCATTGTTAAGAAATTTGAACACTAGCTGAAGACGCATAAATCCACGCCTACTAGATAGTGTTGAAAGTCCTAGTTTGTCTCTCATCGTTTGCGAACAAGTCAGGTGATTTGCCCTTAAGATAGTCCTCATAGCCTTGTTTTGTAATCATTCTAAAATCAGAGTCCTTCTTGGGGCAAGGTCCCCATAAAATGCAACCGTAAGCTAAAATAGGTAAAATTGGCGCTTTCTAAATCTTCAAAAGGGTAGTTGGATCCAGAAAGAACGAAATCCTATTCAGCAACTTAAGTTTGGGATAGACTCTGAAGGCGACATAAGATATGTAACTGTTCCAGGATAACGATTCGTTTACTATCACACAGAGGTACTTAAAGGATCTCTTCTGCTCTAGAAGCGAATTACCGTGAGATATACGTGATCTCTGGCAGTTTTGTCTGCCCTGTGTGATGCAATAACCATTGTCACCGTCTTTTTCGTGTTACAAATAAGACCATTGTTAGAGAACCACTGGTTAATGCTTTTGAGATCCTCGTTAATTATGTACTCGGCCTCGCCAACGTCTTTGAAACTAAAATGAATCTCGATATTGTCTGCAAATAGCGCAACATCAGAATTGTGACATGCTTTAGATACGTTGTTTATATGAATATTAAACAAAGTTGGACCCAGGACCGACCCTTGCGGGACTCCAAACGGGAGATGTCGAAGCTCAGAACCGGAGTCACTACATACAACAAATTGAGATCTACCTAAAAGCTATTAACCCACTGAAGAGCGTTCCCTTTAATACCATAAGCTTCAAGTTTGGCAAGAAGTATATCATGCTTGATGACACCAAACGCTTTTCTCAAGTCTAGAAAAACGCAAACAGACTTTAGACCATCATCGATAGCAAACTTCCAAGAGTCTACTACTTTGAGCAATGCCACTGTCTTTGAAGAAAACTTGGATTAGGCGAATTGATGCTGTTCTATGAGGTGCTGTTTGTAATAGACCGAAATTTGAATTCATCTGTCATCTCCAGATTTACTTAGGGTATTGACCTTTATACCTCTGCCAAATTTCGTGTATTTAACACGATTTGAACAATTCCGCATGTTTTCTGCACCATTTTCCTGTACTATATGAAGTTATAGTTGTCCAGTCAGTATAAAATTCGGAGAGTAAGGCCCGTTTCAAACGTCGTGCTACTGAACTCAATTCGACTTTAGCACGGCAGTAGCGCGACGTTTGAAACCAATTCGTGCTACTGCCGTGTAGGACGGCAAGGCTTGCCGTGCTACACGGCAGTAGCTCGACTTGGTTTCAAACGTCGTGCTACCGCCGTGCCGAACTCAATTCATAAATTATAAATGCATTAGAATACATTTAAAAGTTTGCTAGACCGTTTCTTTTGTTTTTGTGTTTTGTTTTCGGCAACAGCCGTTCTATTTGACTGAATAAAATTCGACGTCTGAAACCACGTCGTGCTAGTGACGTGCTGCAGTCGAGCTACAGTCGAGCCAGCTTAGCACGGCAGTAACACGACGTTTGAAACAGGCCTCACATATAAAAACTGTACTATAAAGAACTTATTTTGACATGAATTTTTAACAATAACAAGAGAAAAGTATTTTAAAAATTACAGTTCAGAAGTTTCTTAGTTGTTGTTGAAATTCAAGAGGTGTTAAAAGCTTCTTGTCGAAAACTGTGATCGGTTAAACTTTTCCATATATTAATTGATGATGTGTTCGCAAATCGAGCGTCCTAATTAACATACAGTACGTGGTCAAAAGTAGGAATTACAACAACAGATGTTTATTTAGCAGACTATTTAATTTACGAGATATCTCTCTCTTTTCTATTTAAATATATTTCATTATTTTACGTAGAGAATACTGACTGATACGAATTCGGTTGAGGGTACGAGAAAATAACTCTAAAAATTATCAAAAATAAAGAAGGTAGTCCTCTTCTGGGAAATATCGATAAAAGGTGAGGTTGAGATCAAAAAATGTCAAATTTTGTCATTCTTATTGTAAATAAGACTTTGTTCTTTTTGGGAAACTTAAATAAAACATATTTGTATTACTGTGGAGGCGTACTACACCAGTCTCGCACCGAATTCACGGCAAGAGGAGGTTTATGTTGATGACTATTTTAAACGTCGAACTTGTAGACGAAAGCGTACGTCTAAACAACTAATAAATGAGTCTTCATGATACCCAACATGACATCCTGATAAAATATCCCTTAGTTAACTTATCATACAGTGACCACTTAAGCATCCCCTTAATTTTAAGCATAAATCAAACTGGGTAAGAGCAAACTACCCTCCCCGCAGACGTCCCGTGGGGTTCGTTCATCACACATTCAGAAATGAATGCGTGACGAACGAACCCCAAAGGACGTCTGCGGGGAGGCTAGAGCAAACTAGATCAAAGCTAAAATCTCCCATTGCTTGCATTTTTATTGTTTAACAGAAAGAAGGCAATTATTAAACCGTTTGACTAAATTTGCTTGCAGCAAATAACCATGAGGATCATTAATAGCCGACTACGTATGTTCCTTTTAAAAATGAGACGTCTCTTCACCTGGAGTTATTTCGTTCGTGTGGGTCTCGCGGCAGCATTTTTACTGGGCATAGTACATCTTGTCGCCGTTCTCAGTAATTCAAGCCAAGATCTTTTAAGACAATTCGAGTCTACTGCGATTCAAGAAAGGATCCAAACTGGCCATCCAATGACAAGTCCCCCTACTATTGGTAGGCATTAGTTAGTAGCCTGCGAATACAGCCGTCTCTCCTCGACGGGAGGAGAGACGGGGGGGGGTACTTCCTTGCAAGAGGTTAATAAGAGGCTAATGTGGATGTGCCGCTGGATGGGGTCGCATTTTCACTACTGGATTGACTATAATGGGGTCGCATTTTCAATAGAGGCACTAGAATGGGGTCACACATTTTCGGATTTCTTGGGGTAAGACAGTTTTTCATATTTACGGTTAGCAAACGTACCAGAATGTTTGTACTGCAGATGAAAAGTAAAGAGTTCGTCATTCAATCTAAAAAAAATGGGTCAATTCATAAAAGTAGAAAGTGACTAAGTTGGGATCGAGAAAATTACATATTTGCCTAAAAGTGACTAAGATGGGGTCTATAATTGGCCACCGAATAGACTATAATGGGGTAGGGGCTCTGAGAGGCAGCAGCACATACCCAGCAAAAATTATCCCAAGTCCCCCCACCCCCTTCCCGAGGCGCGAAACGTCTTTAGCGAGTGGCAAGTAGCGAGGAAAGTCGGCTGTATGCCCATGCGCAGGTTTGTTAGTTAACACGTCTTGCCATGAATTACTGGAGGTATATAAATCGAGCATCAAAAACACTTTAAACATTGCATAAAGTTTTCATTAGAGCAGTTTTCGTATGACCTTAAAATATGGTTTCGGTAAGTGTTCGTTATTTGTTTTATTAGCCAATGGATGAAAAGATCAAAACATGGACTCTTCGTTTTCCCACCAAACAAAACCCTACCATGGAGAAGGCATTGTTCGATTGGCCAGTCGTGTTGCAGTATGACGTCAAAGCGAAGTATCAATTGATTTCTAGAAAGTTCTCGGGCATGGAGTTTTTTCACCCGAGCGTTCGCTTAACCAACCAAAACACGTCCAGGCACGTTTGTGTCAAGTCGATAAACCAATCAAATATCGTTCTATTTCCGTTCGTTTGTTGTTTCTGTTTTGTTCGCGCGTTTTCATTTTAAGGTCAAACGAAAATCGCTCTATTCGGTGTCATTGGCTAAACTATACGAAATGGGGTAAAATAGCCAACGGCAAGAGACAATAATTGGACAGAGAGGGAAAACCCGGTCTATTGAGCCCTTGGGATAAGTGAAGTCACAAAGCTATTTTTAGACCAATTAAACGCTTCAGTTAATGAAAAGTTCGCATCCGGAGAGGTACGCAAACGTTTTTTCAGTTTTGTCAAGAGAGTATTCAACAGTCGCCAGAACAATATTCTGCATGTTTTGTTTTGAGGCAGTCGGGCGCGCACTTGATGACGTTTCAAACAATCAATAACGCTGCGCGCTATTATATAAGCCCGAAACTCAGACAAACTAAAATTAACTTTAGCGAATTCCTCATTTTGTCTGACTTTTGTCATTAAAATATAATGTTTATCTGTCTTTTGTCATTAAAATGAGAAAAATGAAAAACTTAGACAAACATTGCAAATTAGTCACTTTGACGTCATTCGCGCGCTACGCTATTAAAATTTGCGTACGTCCCAGGAATCAAACCTCTCCGAAAAATACCTTTTCTTTGTGAAATTCTACCACATAACCCGGCCAACACCCTAATATTCACTCTCTAACCCATTATTCTCCGATCTCTTGCCAGCAGTTATTTACCTACTAAACACAAATAAGTCTGACCACAAGAATAACAGGATTCAGTGAAATATGCGGTTCTCGTGATAAGAATACTTGTAACTACATAGTGATGTTAAAAGCCTATGCCTTGTTCTTTTCAGATCAAAACATTTGTTTGACAGCAATTGAACCTCGATCCTTTTGTCCAGCGAAAGAAATTATGTCCAGTTCCAGAGTAACAAGGCTGGGAACATATCCAAGAAAGAAACGTGAGTAAAACTAAGATCACGTCCCTGATAATTGTATACCCACAGGAATTTCATTTGCTTTCAGATGTACAATGTAGACATTCTTTGAGTCTTAACACCAAAGTATCTTATTACTCAGGAATCATGTCGTAAGTAGGCGGAATAATATCGTCAGGAAGGGTATTGTCCTGAATATTAGGACTGTTGTTGACAGTGACTGACGTTTTATCAACCTATGCCGATGACGTCATCATAAGTCAAAGTTTTTATATATCCCCAGCCTCGTTCCCAGTCGTCCTCGGCGATTTCGGATGTGACCTCACCTGTCAAGCCTCCTCTGGTCGCTCGGATAGCGTGCGTGACCGGCCTGGGTACGAGGCTGATATATCTGCTGTGCTTCGTCAGTGGACGGTATTCTATTCAATGGTACTCCAGTCATAATTGACGTGATTGGTCAATATAACATTGCATCATACAGTTAAGCGTTTTCTGGACCCTTCCACTTCCCTTTCGATTTCCTTCCCTCCCCTCCCCTCCCCTCCCTCGTCTTAATGCTCTAAAATAAGATTTCTGTACCTCGCTTGTTTTGCAAATGATCGAAAAGAAGATTGCATAGCCAAAAGTAGCCTTTTCTAGGCTCCGAGATAGTTGGGTCCACGAAATACACTCTCGCGTCATCCCCACTATCTGATGAAGTTCTGGAACAGGCTAAGCCAAAAGAAAAAGCCATGTTTAATTTACATAATAATGCCATTTTGTTTTTAGGGTTCCTTTCAATTGGAATCGCCTCAATTACAAGACCTTCCAATACAAACTATCTGCTTAACACCACTAAGAGTCTGATGGACAACTTGAGCGAAATGGATGAAGAAGAGACCTATATTGTAATATTCCTTGCTGATCTTCACGAGCCGTCAAGATCAACCAGAGCCGCAGAACTTTCAAGAACCTTCGGCAAATATATTGACAAGGGACTGCTGACTGTAATAGTAGCATATCCGGAATATTACCCACCGCTTGACAACATCAAACCACGATATGGTGACTCAAGTGAAAGACGGTTTTGGCGCGCCAAGCAAAACGTGGACACAGCGTTCGTGATGTGTTACTGCAAGGACGCATCACAGTTTTACATTCAGCTTGAAGACGACGTGATACCTTCGCCAAGCTTCTTTCCTAAACTGAAAGCTTCATTAACGGAAAACGACGAGGCATTTCTGGTACTTCACGTCGCCACGAAAGGAACCGTCGCAAAACTCTATCATTCCAAAGACCTTAGCAACGCAGCCTCCTTTTTCTTCCTCATGTATGACGAAATGCCTGCGGACTGGTTGCTGAGTCATTTTCGAGCGATAAGGGAGGCAGCTAAAATGCGAAAATGGCCTTTGGCGGCATCACTTTTCCAGCATACAGGCATTCTTTCTTCTCTTGCAGAAAAGAAACCGAAAGGCCCTGGACACGAGGAGCCATTTTTTGATCTGTACGATCAAAAGTTCCGAGGCTTAAATCCTCCTGCAAACGTAACCTCGCCTCTGTCCTCTCACGAAACCGTGGGTAAAGGAAGCCCACAACAAGCTTATGAAAAGGGTAGTGGTTATTTCTGGGGGACGGCTCCTAGTAAATATGATTATGTTATAATAAAATTCAAAGAGTCAACCGCTGTCCAGAAAGTGTTCGTGGACACTGGCTCTCTCTTAGGACCGAAAGATATCTTGAAATCTGGTGTTTTGCAGGCCAGCCTTGAGTCAGTCGATCAAGAGAAATTTGTTCGTGACAGCGGCGATCATGGGTGTGGAAATTTTGAAACTCGTGGATCTTTTAACCAAGGAAAAGTTACAGTTACTTTCAATAATTCTAAAAAGCTTACTTGCCTGCGAATCTTAGCAACGGAGAACCAAGCTGAACCACTCTTCCTTCGCGAAATTGATGTATGGGCATAAACTTTAGATGTGGTTTGTTTCAGTTGTAGAGCCGGAATAGACCACGTTCGATATATTAAAATTCTAACCGGACTCCGAGGCTTTTTGGTCATTTTTCTATACTTGATGTGGTTTTCTTTGTGCTCAAGTCTTTTCTGGGAATTGAGTGAGACTGGGTCTGTGTGGTGTCGAATTGTACTATGAGGGTGGTACAGGGGGGTTCTCTCGCACGGTTCACGAACAGAAAAAACAGCGAATCACGGATCACGGCTATCAAAATTTCATTTTCCCGAATCACGAAAATAAACAAGTAAGGTACTCGTTTTAATAACCTTCTCTTACGGTAGAAAGAGTGTTTGAAGAAAGCAAAATCGTTAAAGGCTAAGTAAAGGCTGCTTTTAAGGTAAAATAGCATCGCCCGTGTTTGAAGCTGTATTTTACCTGAAGTATCTAAAATTTACTTGTCTTGAAATATTTCTAAGTTAACTTTGTACTACCATCGTCATCCTGACATAGTCGCCGTATTCTCTTGTTCTTCTTTTAACCTTGATTACTTATTTTACTTTGATTACTTACTTTGATTACTTATTTTTCTATAGGTTAAAACCTATAGAAAAGTCGGCCCGTGTCTTTCAGAACGGTCCTTGATGTCCTTTAATAAGAAGTACCGTAAATAAATTTCTACCTTGTAATGAAGATGTATTTCCTGATAGTAGCGGCCTCTCCTCGTCCCATTGCTCTTGTGTATTTATCGCAAAGGCCTTACTGCCATCTTTTCCCTTTTCGAGACGACAAAATTTAAGTTCAACACAGGAGCCGAGGCCACGTTTCTCAGCCTCTGCCTTTAATCCGGCAAATTCCGTGAACTTTTTAGTAAACGCTGCCAAAGATGAATGTTCATCTGTAATTGGAAAGCGAACTCGTTCCTTTCCAAGAAAATTAAGCGAGCCGACAGACTTTGGGTCAACGTAAAATACAATACATTCGACCCTCATCGTACTATACGTACTCGTCCCCTCCATGTCTCGGATGTTTCGATGTTTTGGATCACTGTCCTTTGACCTCCAGTGACATAGGAGACCATAGGCATAGGAATAGACATCTGATCCATGATAGGCATGTAAAGCACGTGAATTTGCACAATGGATTACTTCAATTAAAGCGAAGTCTGTTACTTGTCACATTTGATATTTTCAGTCTTAAAATAAGTCTTCCGGAGCACTCGCATCTCAGAGTGGTGAAATCACGGATATCGGTTAATAATTCAAGTTCTTCACGGGTCACGCAAAACCTTCAGATCACGGATCACGAAGAATAATTTATTAAATTCACGTTTCACGGAAAATAAAATCAGCCAATCACGCATCACGGGAATACCCCTGCACGACCCTCTACTATGGGACTAGCTGTTTTTGTGACACTAGCGTCTCTTTCATTGACTATCACAAGTATCGTTAACAAACTCGTCCGGCCGAATCAAATAAGCCTTTGTAAGTCATTTATATTTCCAGCATTATTTCTTTTCCAAGCCCGTACTTTATATCATCTGCCCACAAGAGAAAATGTTTCATACAACGTATTTATACGCTAAGTTAAGTCACTGACACCAAAGTAATTTCCACGTTCGCTCAGCTATTTGCCACGTCAAAAACGAGAAGGAAAGTTGGGCGAGTTAGTAGCCAAATTCGTTGTATAGCGCTGCCCGTTTGCAGACTTCGAATAGGTTTTTCTGTTCCGTCAATCATTTGAGTGGGGGCGGGGTTAATGCAAATCACAATGCAACGTACTCGCCCAGCTTGGCCCGCAAAAACAAAACTGAGAATGACTCTAGACTGCTCAAGAACAGGGGAGGAAATTGCGAAGATGAGTGGACTTTTTGTCTAGGGCAGGAGGCAGACCCTGCTTTATTCTTGCAAGAGACAAGAATAAGAAAGATCAGAAAAATCCTCGAAGAAAACTAGTCGGCTATAGACCATGTCACGGTTTTCGACGCCATCTTGCCGAGTAAGCAAACCCGTGAGAAATTACAGTGATTGTATGAGAATCTAATGTCGAATAATTTCCGTAGAACGGCTGTTCTGAAAAAAAAAAAAAAGATTTGTAAACTAAAGCTTTACTCCTAAGGATTCTCCTGAAAAAATTTGAGGGCGTTACATGCACTAGAAGACCTAGAACCACTTTTTAAATTTTTTTATACATTCGTCTGTAAGAAAGTCTCGGGAAAATTACAGACTAAAATATGAAAAATCGAAAGCAAGCCTCTCGGGAAATTCAAGCACAGGTACGCCCCCCAATTTTTTTACGACAATCCTTTACTTTGTAGCTTTAGTTTAGCTTAGTTTACAACTGATACTTTTTTCAGAACAGCCGTTTTACGGAAACTATTCGACATTAGATTCTCATACAAACACTGTAATTTCTCACGCGTTTGCCTAATCGTCAAGATGGCGTCGAAAACCGTGACAAGGTTTATTGCCCGGAACCTGCCTCGTACCCAGACGTCTCTCTTTTGATGAAAATGTGCGCGCAAAGGAAGGCGGGAAGGAGACAACGGGCGAGACGTCGCTTCGCCTGCCGTTTGTACCCTTCCCATGGTCCCTTGTGGTTCATCACCAGTCACTCGTTTCGCGCTCGCCTCTGCCATGCGAAAAACGAAGCGCCTGAGGAGGAGGCTGGCCCGGAACAGGACGATCACAGGCAACGAACCTTGAAACACAGAAACAAACAAAATGGATCGAAATGCACCAATCACAAATAAACATGTGTTTTCTAAGAGGTCCGCTAAGATGAAAACCCAAAATTCCTTTGAAGTCTGCAAAACGCGCAGCGCGATACAACGAATTTGGCTATAACGATAACGAGTTAACTCACGCAAAAACTTCTGGTACTGTTACTAGGGACAGGGAAAAAAACATTGGTAGTCTCTAGACTAGAGCCTAAATAAGATGAGAAATATTTCAAGACAAGTAAATTTTAATTCTTCAAGTAAAATAAAGCTTCACACACAACCTATCTTTTTTACTTCAGGTCTACTTAAGCCTATTGTCCCACGCAACATAAGTAAGGTTGATTGACACGCTTCGCCTTTTTCAAAGCTTAGAAACCGCAAGTTCGTTAAGTCGGTTTTAAGGACGGTTTCAAGTCACTTGAAACTTTCTTGAATCGTTTCAACTTTCCGACTTTAATGAGATGCAAAGTAAAGTTACTTGAGATTTTAGTTCAGTAAAACTTAGCATCTCTTAAGTCTTACATAACAGCCGAGTGTAAAGACAACCATTGATCAATGGCTGATCGGCGCGTCCCAAGCAACGATTCTAGATACAATGGGCCATTTTCACAATGACGACATTTGATCACTACTAGAGTGGAATTTGCCTAGTCCCTATACGGCGTCTTTCCAAGCCCTCTCGGTCAATGCATTTTTCGGTGACGTATCCGAGACGAACGGCCGGGAGACGCCTAGACAATCTCGGAGTGCGCATGCGTGAGCGTTTTTGAAAAGTTCCCACGTTCAACTGAAATAATCTATAAATAACTTTGCGCGTGAATATCCTTCGCTTTTAAAGATTGGCACTAACTTGGTTTCTGTTATCAAAGAACAAAAATATTACTTTGAGTCGGAAAGAATACTATTGTATAACGTGGAGTACTTAATTTCTCTTTTAGTTCATTTTCAAATGAACCATTAAAATGATATTTCTTTACTGATAAAAGAATTTGAAATAGTAGTTTGTTGACATTCTACCAAATTTAGATCAACAGCCTGTCCGATTAGTTTGATAAGCTTCCAAATCCAAAAATTAAATTACATAAAATATTTCGAAGTGAAATGATAACGAGAAATTTATAGGCGCAAGCGAAAACAGAGAAACGAAAGAGCGCTTTTCATATCCAAGAATAAATATAAACTTGTTTCTTTAGCTCACCTTCCGATTGTTGATCAAATAATTTTTTTTGCGACGCTGTTTTGCTTAGCCTTCAATAGTTTTTGAGATGAAATAAAGTTCAAATTAGTTTAATGAGGTAAATGAAAAAGAAAGGCCAAAGGACTTTCAACAACGAAATCGTGCATAGAATAAAAATGCTCGGTTTAACTTTATCCTCTGTACTCTCCATGGCTGGTGGAAATCTTTCATCAGCGGGGAAAAGTTATTGATAGCTCGCCCCCTTCCAAAAGCTCCGCCCCTAGTGAGACAAAATGTCTCACTTCTCCGAGTTTGTCTAGGCCTCAAAAACTTTCTCGGACCACGTGACCCGAAACGCATCGGCCGCGCATAATAATGAAGCCTAGGGACTAGGCAAGAGTGGAATCTCGATTTAACGAAGTGCCAAGGGACCGGGGAAATTTGTTCGTTATAGCCTGTTGGTTCGCAAGTCTATCACCTCTCGCCACGCTTCATTTCTTTCGCTACTTTTCATCTCCCCCTGAGAGAGTGGAGAGGAGGAGGGAGCGAAAATAAAAAAGCGCGAGGAAAAATGAAGCGTGGGCTCCCCACTATCTGAACGCCTGGGACAGGGTATGTTCGTTATATCGAGGGTTCGTTATATCGAACACCTTGATTTAACGAATTTTCGAAAAATAAAAAAACAACCAGAATGTTCGTTATATCGAGGTATGGCTAATAACTAGAAATACGTGTATCGCAGAACCTCGCCAAAGTCGGGGTGGGGGAGGCCCATAAAATGTTCAGTTGGAAGGAGGCAGAGAAATAGAGTAAATTCTGTAGCTTAGGAGGGCAGGTTTCAACACTGGTTCTAATATTGGAATGTGAGATGTACTTAATCTCATTTTGGTTGGAGTAAATTTGAACCCAGTGCTCTGTCATTAAAAAGGATTTTCTGGGATTTAAATGGAGTTGGTGTTGTTAAGGAAGGGTAGCCAATGTTTACAAAACCCAGCATTCCCGGATCTGAACAATTACTGTAATAACATTTGTTCTTGTCTCAGTACTGAGCTGTATGTAGCTACGGCACTATAGCAACTCAAGAACAGGCAAACAAAACTGCTTAAAACTACTGTACACAAAAATTTTATCCTTGTTGGCCTGTTTGGTTTTCATCTTTTATCACATATTGACATTTATTCGTTATATCGAGGTATATTTTACTTTTGCGCTTCTGGATTGTGTTCGTTATAACAAGGATTTCGTTAAATCGAGGTTCTGTTTCATACATTTTACTGTAATTTTGGCCGGGCCGAAGAAAATCGTTCGTTATACCGAGGACTTCGTTATATAGAGGTTCGTTAAATCGAGGTTCCAACCAGAATTCATATGACATTTGCATTTCTAAAGTGGAGAATGTAAGCGACACCGGCCTGTACTATACGAGCTAGACTGAAGGGCATTCCTCGGTAAACCGCAGATGGTATGTGCAAAGAGGAAAGGGAAAAAAGACACTCATCTTTAATTGTAGCATAAACACGTTGATTCTCTCCCTTTGATTCAATTTAGATATGAACAATCCTGGCAGAGTTACTGATACTAAAAGCCTACTAACATTTTAAGAAATATCCACGGCTAATTTCGCTCTCAGCTTCACCTATTACTCTTTATAGAAATAAAATTTCTTTCTTTCCTGGAAAGTTAGCCAGTAACAACTCCATGGCCTCTGATTGGATGAAGTAAATTTCCAACCAATCAGAAGCACTAACCAGATCTTGTTAGTGACACGTCATCAGTATGGAATTTCTGAGCGCGTTCCTCAGACGTCATTTCGTGAAGAAACCAGTGGTGGGTCACTATTTATCAGTACTTTTTAAAAGCGGAATTTCATGCACGTGATTCTAAAACACCATTTGCAATGTAGTTCTTGGGGACTGTTATACGAGATAGATATAAATATAATACATTAAATTATAGCCGTGTAATATAAAACATTCTTTTCTGGCCAACTCGATTCCACGTCGTTGCATGTTTGATTGCTGGATTAAGTTTGTTTAGTTTCCCTTCGATTCACTCGAAGGCGAGTTTCATTAAGTCTCTTTTATGAGCTCTGATTCCTTCTCCCTATCCGCACCGAGTTCAAAACTGCGTCGGCTCAGTTTCTCGAGAATTTATGTGGACGTGATTGAAGGGGAGGAAGCACGCAAATGAATTCTTTCAAACGCCTCATGCTGCCAGACTCGTCAGTTGGCTCAGGTCGCAGAATCTTTGACAAATGTTGGTCACCGCTCAGATTGTAGGAGACGGAAACCAAGTGTTTAGGTGAAGCAAAAGATACCTTGTTGTTTAAAGAAAATCCTTGATTTCCTCGCAGCTTTGTATATAGAATTATATCACTGTCCACTCCCCATTTTTTCTCTACTTCAGTTCCCGCAATTTTTGTTAAGGGACTAGTGGAAAGTCTACAGAGCTGTGTGGTCTGAACTTTTCGCTTGGCCTGGCTCTGTAGGAACATCGCTCTTTCTTGGTCAAAGAATTTTTCCCGCTCTGCTTTTGCTTTATCTATCAGGAAAGACTGTTTTCTTAACAGTGCTTCTGCACTGGCATTTCTTTTAAGTAGATACCTTGCACCATTCTTGGACAGAGCAAGTTCCGGCAAAGCACTCTGAATGGGCATGATAGTAAACCTTCACAGCGGGTAAAAACGGACTATGATTACTGCACATAGAAAATCACTGACTAAATTAGTTTGTTAAGGTCGTTAAGTGGTTTAAGTTACGTCTGTAACATATTAAATACGTCAACAGTTGGAAGAACTTCCTACTGCATTACAAACAGGAACAGGAAGCACTAAAAATAAATTGCTCGATACTGAATTCCTCACAAGTTGTCCGGATTAAATCTACTCTTTTAACCCCTGGGTTCAAATCCTTAACAATGCTACCGCACATTTTATTTTCAATGATTTTATAAAAGGTGACGAATGTTACTAAATAGTGGAGTGCCATGGCTTCTTTAGTTAGCACAAAACAATTTACAGAAAAAGCGAAACTTGTTTCATAATATAGACTGTACACTCACAAACAAAAAATACCTTAGAAAAAGAAAGAGCCAGTTGACATGACTCCAGGCGAGGTAAACGCACGTCCAAACAAATACGTAAAAAAAAATGAAAATCACAAAGCAACTAGAGGGTTTTCAGGGAAAATTACATTAACCAACCCATCATTTTTTAGATTCCAGTTGAACAAAACCTAGAGAGGCTGGCGGGAAACAATCTTTTTCCTATCCTTACTATTAAACATAGAGACGTTCTAAGAAATTCAGCAGAAAAGTTATGTTAATCTCAAAACATGTATCCGACGTATCCTTCCTAATTTTTCCAAGTCTCGCTATTATCTTAAGGTCATCAGTCATGGAAAATTTAAAAATGTGTACGACATTATTCCGGGATTGAGAACGTGAAAGCGCGGCGAAAACCGTTTACAGAGCCTGTTTACAAGGAGGAAAAGTAACTGAGATCCCCGCGAAAAGAGTAGTCTCGTGAGTAGAATATTACCCTTGATCCCTGCTCCGATTTGAAAATGACAAATCTTCGAGTAGTCAAGCGCTACGAGTCGCTTTGATCATAGGTGACGTAAAACTGAATGCGGTAAGAATTCAAGTGTTCACCAACCTGGTGTAGAAATGACCCACTTCCCTTCAAAAAAGAAATGTTCCTACAGTACACCAGTGTGTACTTTCAAACATCTTAGAGGAGAGGGCACGAGGATGTTATTTTATCGCGCTGAACCAAATATGTAAAGTTCGTTGATTGATATCAAGATATATTATCGGAAAAACCATTCGTCAATTTGTCACTGTCATTGGTATGCGGACGTATCAAGTACCTCACTTTCCGATGCGATGGAAGCACTATATAAGAGACCTTTAGCATCAGGTTTTTCATGGAAAACTGCAAACCGCAAACCTTAGAATGTCACGTGACCACGGTCTCGCGGTCGCGTTTGCAGTTTGCAGTTCACGTTTGAACGGCAGCAAGGGCGTCCAGCGGTAAGTGACTTACGGCACGGTTTTTTGCCACAAAAACTAAAATTGTGCCTCACGTTAAAAGGCACGAAGTAGCTTCCTTTATCCGTCTGCGATGTGCTTGTTAGATTATTGAACTCGAATAAATGAATGATCATTGTTTTTTGGGCGATAAAATAGATGCACTTTGACTTCGACAAAAAACAACATGGCAGCACCAAACAATGAACGCCTTGCTAAAATTTGAAATCCCGGCAACGTGAAAATGCAAAACTGCAGTTTACGGTTTGCGTTTTTCCATGTTAAACTTAATGCTATAGGAACTCTATTGTGACGTCATCAGCCCCACGTAGCGCAAACAAAAACAGCCGTGACTTCCTGTCTTGGTTTTCTGTAAAGTTCTGAATAAACGGTTCAACCCAAAATCATATTCTTAAATACAAGCAAAGTTGCCGATTTTTTAAACCAAATCCGACCTTTTGGGAAGCTATTTCATTTAAAAAAAGTGTTACTAAGTGATATCGTTATCTCTAAACTGTGCGATATGAGAAATGAAGAAAAGTAAACAAAACATTTCCGTGATCGTTTTATTAAGTGTAAGCAATTCATCCCACAATTCTTAATTCGTCATGGCAATCAACCCATGAATTTTGACCTAGTTTAACCAACTGAATGCATCTGAACCAGCTACATATCAGTTATCTCTTAATCATTACTGGAAGTAACATGACCAAACACTGGTGTGATGAAGTCATCTAAAAACGATTCAACAACGAAAGTAAAGTCAACAAAAGACTTCCGTAAGATGATACATGTACTTGCTTCTAAACCCACGTTACATTTAAACTTTTCATCAGTGTGTGTTGCGTAAAACTGAGTGACGTGGATATCACAAAAATGGTTCTTTGGAATCGGCAAAGTTATGGAAACTTGTTACTTGATTGTTGAAGTATGTCCTTGCTTCACGTTACCATTCAGCGAATATCAATTATTACCCTTTGAAAGCTACCCTCGCTTAAACCGAAATCAAGATTTACATGAAGGCTACCATAGAATGTTATCGTACTGAAACTCAATGTTTTTTGGGGGGAGGCGCGTGAGTTATCTTCTCCCTCTGAAATTGAGGTGGAGCAGTTAGTTCTTACACTGTAGCTTTCTCGTGAATCTCCATGTGTCACGCCGTTCAACCACACCTAGTCCTAGAATCTTTCATTTCCTTCAAAAAGTTTATGGAATTGGCTAAATCGGAGGAAGTACACAGCTTAATGACCTGAAACGTCCCGAGGTGTGAGGCACCTCAATCCCTTGCTCACTGCCCTGATTCGTGGAGTTGGAAAAAGTAGAGTGCCGCGATGAAGCCACTGATACTTTTTTGTTGAACAAAACTCCTGGTCTTCTTCGCTGCCTTGCGTACGAGGTATCACTCTTTATCTCCCAATCACTCTTGCCTTTATTGGATCTTGAAATCTTTTTTAATGTGACGCTTGTTCTTCCATTCAGCTGTGTTGCCTGAATCAGTTCTCGGTTTCTACACTCGCGATGTATAAGCAGTTCTCTTTCTCTCCGAAACGCTTTTTCCTGCTTTGTTTTTGCTTTTTCTATCAGAAAAGACTCTTTTCTAAACAGTGCTTTCTCGCCGGCATTTCTTGTTAGTAAATATTTAGCGCACTTCTTTGATAACGTGATTTCGGGGAAACCGTTGTAAGCGGACATATTAAAAACTTACTAAACTTAAGCAGCGGAAAACGGTTTACCCAAGGACAACTATTCTTTTGCCGCGTTCCTTTTCTCACAAGTGCAGCTAAACCGTTCTTATATATACATAAACAAGGCGCTGATTTTGAATAAGCAAATATATAAGCCAAATTTGTTTGTTTTTTAGTCCACCTACGTAAGCAAAGCGAGTGCGTAACAAGGCGGGTCAACTAACACAAATAATCCCTCGCTTTTCATAAATACTGTAGTCATCTATTTTTAACCGGACTATGTAGCAGAATTGCTTCATTGGAACCCGAAACAGTAAACTCAAGGATTACAGTTGACTTCTTTTGATCTTTGCGTGTCACTTTTGATAAACGAACAATGGCGACTATAATCTCTAAATTACTGAAGTACAAAACATCTTTTAAGAGGCTGTAATCTGCCCGTGTCATGCATGCAACACGTTCCGCTGGCTTGGATGAAGCGGAGGGCTTCCACTGAAGTTAAAACTGCAGCTGCAGCTCCAGGCTGACAGAAAACATCAGAGTAATTGAAAGTAATTAACCAAAGAAACCAATAAAAACGACTGAGAAATGTTAAATGAGTCTGCGGCAGTGTGGGTGCAGTGTGGCCGGGCGGTTAAGGCGCCGGACTTGTACTCGAAGGCCCCTAGTCCCGCCATAACCGCTAACGGGATTGTTCACGGTAGTCTCGAGTTCAAATCCTCGGCCACGCTTGTAAATAGCCAGCTGGTTTGCCTCCGGCCAGTTGGGATTCTTAACCCTGCTATGTTGGATTTTATTATTATGAATTTCATGTGTTTGCTCGGCCCCGCTGGCATTAGTGCTATTAATACTACCGAGGGTAAACAACAGAATTTTCTTTTTCTTTCTTTCTGAAAAGTGCATGAATGAGCGTAGAACAAACTAAGAGAATTGGAATAACGTGTGTTGCGCGTCCCTAGCTTAAAGTCATTACCAACGTAGTTGCTCTTTTAAAACGAACCGAACAAACCGAGGGCAAAGGTCCCAATGAACTAGGGCATTTGTTTACCAGTAATGCAATTTTTCCTAGAAAATAAGGAATGTTTCAGTCTGCTTTTACTTTTTTTCTGGAACACTTCTGTTTGGAAGGTGGGCAGCCTGAATAGTGATACATTTGCATAAACTTGACATGCACCCATGACATGCACCTATCCCACAGCCTTCGATTAGCAAGTCGACCTGTTGCGTGCCTCGTTATTTATGACAGCTGCATTAGACTACATTAGACTATTTTGGCTTTAAACGAGTTATCCAGGGAACGGTTCTGATAATATTATTAGTAATATATAGATGAGCGATTTTTTAGTGGTTCCGGCGTGGATTTAGTCCGCGAAAAGACGGCTTTCTGAAGATTGGAGGTGTTCAATTTGATAACGCCAATGTCCTCTTTTATTTCTCGGTACTTTGTGTTCTCACAAAAGGTGTATTTTTGAGAGCATGCCCCGCTTACACTTTCTATGGACCCTTTAGTGTCTGTAAAGTAACGGGTTTTGACTTGTACTGTTCTGTCAAACAGACCGAGAACATGAGGTATCAAAGTAAAAGTAAACTACCGTAAAATTCCGAAAATAAGCCTCTCCATGTATAAGCCCCTCCAAATATAAGCCCCCCAGACCGGTAACGCAAAAAACCCTCCGTTAAATCGCCCCTCCAAATAAAAGCCCCCCGGGGGCTTGTCCTCGGAAAATTGCCCTCAAATTACAAAGTAAAACAAAGCAAAAAGGGTAAATTTAGTTCCAACTATAGGGCTAGCCCAATCGATTTCGAAACGCAAATTTCCCTCCGTAGATAATCCCCTCCAAACATAAACCCCGGGGCTTATTTTCGCAATTTTACGGTATCGGCTGATGAAAATCGTAGTCGAGGATAACTTATGCTACAGTCAGGTACCAATATAAACAGACCTTGTACGTCGCCTTGGTAGCCACGGGTCTCCGCCAGACCCGGTCGGACAGGGTCATGGGATAGACGAACCCGTACGTTTTTTTTTTTTTTTTTTTTTTTTTTGTTAAAAGCGGCACCCTCAACACGGCGAAAATTTTTTTTTTTTTTTTTTTTACGGAACAAAAAAAACAAACCATCTGTTAGATTTTATTTTTTTATCAACACCATTTTCCCCGTTAATAAAAACTTCGATATTATTTATTTTTTTAGTGATGAATTTTCCGCCCCCCACAACTATTATTTTACATTGTGTCGGTTTTAAAAAATTTTTTCATGTGTCTTCATACGTGACAGCCTTTCTCCGTAATTAAACAATTCTCTCATATTCATATGTATTGGGTTGAATGTGACTTCGCCTACAGACAATGATTTTGAGAGTTACGGTCCGTTAAAATAATTTTTGCAGTCACCGATCCAGGCATTTACAAACGTATATATTAAGTGAATCGTTTACGATTTCGAATTAAATACTTCAAAAGTTGAAAGAACAAATATTTTACTTTACCATGCCAGGTTTTCGCAATAAAACACCCTTTCGTCAGCTGTTTCGTTGCTGATCCTAGCACTCGGGACTGGTAGAAGGGGTTGAACATTTTATATGATCAACGTGCATGGTTGTATAACAGAAAAAAAATGGGAAAACTTGTAATAAAGTCGCAGTTTAATGATTTTTCACGACAATTTTAAGACCTTTCAAAATAGTTGAATGGGGCCCTGATTGTTTAAAAGTTGGATAGTGCTATCCACCGAATAAAAATCTATCGAGTGGATAACGCAAATGGTTTCCCTGATACTCATCCGGTTGATAGCGCTAACCAGAGTTTGAACAATCAGGCGCAGGTGAATAGTCTGGCTTTCACATTACTGTTGCTAATGGACATACTCCTCTAGTGTGTATAATATTATCTCATTAATTTTCCGCCGAATTTGTGCGCAAATATCTGCACTCTCGTAAGTTCTCATGGTCTTTAATAACACTTGTTTCTTCATTACCCTCGTTCTGCCCAGCTTGAGACAGCTCCTCTTTCCACAGCTTAATCTCACTGCTTTTCTTCAATGTTTTCGTGCCCGCAACATTTATATCGGGAAGAGAAACTGACAAAACATTATCACTCAATCTACTTTTGAGTTCTGCGGGCATTTTGCCCCTGGAGCGAGTTCCCGAGGGCTGTTGATCCGACAAGGAGACGGTGGAATGTGTAGGTGAAACTGTCGCGGGTTTGCCAGTTGGGGTCACAGATCGACGATCCGAGGCCGAGAATGTTTTGCTTCTAGAAATCGTGACCCTGCTACGAGGAGGTGACAACTGATCAGGTAGTGAATTCGTAGAGTTCGAGACAGGTGCGTCTCTTAGTAAATGATTGCTTACAGATAAAAGGTTACCATCGGAAAATGTTTTACCGTATGATGTAAAGGCTCTGGTGCGAGGAGGAGACGAGTGCTCAGGCGTAGGAGAACTTGAAAGTTGTGCATCTTTTTGTATTAAATGGTTGCTAGCAGACAGATGGTTACCATGTGAAAATGTTTTACCGCTTGATGCTGCGACCCTAGTGCGAGGAGGCGACGACTGTTCAGGCAAAGGAGTTTTAGAACTCGGGACAGGTGCATCTCTCGTTAAATGGCTGCTGGCAGATGCATGTTTAGCATCTGAAAATGGTTTCCCACTTGATAATGTGACTCTAGTGCGAGGAGGCGACGACTGTTCCGGTAAAACTAACTTAGAAGCAGACAACATTTCTTTTCGTCTTGACTTGGGAGACAACTGTACCGCCAAATCCGACTGCCGCTGCATTAATTGCTCTCTTTGCTTAAGAAATATCTTTTCTTCGAAATTCCTTTCCTTCTGGATCATTTTTTCTTCCTTCTTTAGCGTTGCTGAGTCGACTGCATTTCGAAAAAGTAAAGTTTTTGCGTTGTTTTTTGATAGCAAAAGGTCTTCATTGCTTGGTTTCATTTTGACTTGTCAACGATGATGGGGCTGATTGAATTATACGGCTACTGTAGTTAACCAAAACACGCAATTATATTTAGCGTCTTACTATACGCAAATAATACGTGCTTTGTGACGAAAAATGTCCAAGAAAATGACAAACAATGGCTTAAGGCTATAACACCTCCACGTCACCAGTGCATTGAAAATTGTCACGGAATGCCTGGGAGTTCGGAATAACGGCACGTGCCTTGCTTCCCATGCGAACACTAAATCTTCAAAACGGAAATACTACGATGTTGACTGCGATTAACAGCTCCAAAACACGAATCGATCCGTATTTTAATCACACTGTCGTGTTCGAATTTTACTACGTAACTGCCAAAGACCCCGATTTTGACTAGGAATTTAAATTCTCGATTTCCCAATTCAAGCACCCTTAATTTAAGGAATATAAGAGATAATCTCCTTTTTGTGCTAGAATGGACAAGAAACTTCCATTGCAAAATCCAGCAGTCATTTCTCGAGGTTCAATCCCACTTTCGCACTTCTTAATTTTCGTGATTAAAGTGGTTTCCGGCAATTCACATTTCCGAAATCAACACACCAGTTCAGTTCTTAGTCATGTAAATCCAAGTGCGTAGTTTTTCACTTTACCGAGCAGAAGATTTATGACGCAACGAAATCGACCCATCAAGAATACCCCACAAAATGACTGTTTGACCCTTAAAATGCCAAAGAAAATAGCCTGAATGGGCTTTTCAACATAATTTTCATTCTGTAAGACATTTTAAAAGACTCACGCACCTGTCGCACGGGCGAAAGTGCCGCTCATATCGATCTTTGTTATAATAAACCTTACGTAACAGCGCTAAGCTGTTTCACACAGGTACAGAATGACTTAGAACTGACTGCAATACGTGCGAAAAGGACCAGCAAAGGTAAAACCACGATAAAACGGAACCCTTCAAAGCAAACACAAACAGAAACAAACAAGATAACACAAATCAGCAGCTTAATATTGATCATGATTTCAATTCACTTAGCCTAGATTAACATAAATTACGAGTCACTTAGGCGTAATAACTTCAAAAATTTACCATTTAATTGTCAATTTTTTCTTAACTCATTTTTTTCTTTCATTTTTTGGTTTGTCCTTTTTTAATGTATCGGTTGAATTAGTTTGTTTGTGCAGTTTACGCACTCTGTGGGATACAGCCTCTCGCCGGCGCAGGCGTTTTTAGAAGAGTCGTGGAAGGAGGCTATGTTGGAGATAGATCTCGGCAGAACTGCACGGAACAAATGAGCTCGTTCACTGCTGCGTTGCTAGGATTACATCCAAAATCATGATTTCAAGGCCTTCAAGTTCAAGTTCCGTCATATTTGTTTCGTAAGCTCTTGCCTTTAAGACCCACCTAATGCGAGCACTTAAAGTTATATAACAGATGAGAGACAGCATCTCCTCTCTGAAGTGACGTTCAGTCCCGCCGTGCGCGTGGTATCCGACCGCCCATCCTGTGTATTTTACTATCGTTACGTCCACTCCTGACGCAGACTGAAGTAGAGACTTTGTGGCCGAGTAGTTAGCACCTCGATATAATTATGCAGTAACTGTAGATGTTTTGGCCCAGGTTCAAGCCTTGCGATTGCTTTGATTCCTGAGACAAGAACCTTGGTAGCGGCAACACACTGCTGGGGGAGAACCCTACGATGGCCCAGCATCCCATCCGCGACACAGGGAGGGGGAGAATACTCCAAGACGCCTCTTGTCTTGTCCTATGCTACAGAAACCGGGTTAAGCTCCGCTCGAGTGGGCCGCTCCTTGGCTCATGCGCGCCTAATTACCCCTATACTTGAATTAGAAACCTGCTCGAGTTCGTTTGCTCGCAAACTGAGCGACTCACTCACCACCAACAAAAGCGAAAAAAACGAAATGTAAACAGGTGTACGTGAAAATGCACTGCCTATCCGCCATGTTCGTTTTCCCAACAATACGATTATTCTTCCTGTGTTGTTTCTAACGCACTTTTAATATTCGAAACCTCTATTGCATGACCGCTAACGTGAGTAAATATATCTCACGCATCAAGTTGTTGGACTGGATTTTTCCACCTTTAATTATTCGTCCCTTGACCCTGTGTGGCATGTGATCAGCCCATAATCGGTCATCAAAAACCATCAAAGCCGGCTAAGAGCAGCATTTTTTAATACATACGTGATATGTCATGGTGATGACTTAAAAAGAGAGGACATTACTTAAAACGAGAGAGCAAGCAAAACCGAATGAACCAGAAAATTTGTCACGTATGCACGCTAATAGGATACTTAGCCTTTTTCCAGTTTAAGAAGAGAAAAGAAAATATAACTATGAAATAAAAGACTTTTTTATTACTGACCACACTGAATGACGTTTTAACCGAAGAGAAGAGCAGGCGGTATCATGTTCAATTTCACGGTCATCGAGTTTGGGCGTGGGTTCATTCATCTTCTTGTCAGTTCTTTTCAAAAATCACGAAGCTTTATATCGCCGGTAAAAGCTACAGAAAAAGGCAGGTGTTAGTAAAACCCAATCGCCTGAATCTTACAGCAAAGCTCCTCCGTATAATATGATTAAGGCGATAAAGGTTTGGATATCTCTTTGGGTTTGAAAAGGATGATGAGTCAGCAAGGAGTCAAAGGAGCTTGACTCTAGCAAGTGGAAAGTAGTAAGCACACGTTAAGTCCAAACCAAAAAAAAAAGGCTAACATTTCTTCTAACTGCTGATTATCACAAACACTCTTAACTATAAAATTTTTACTGTCTAGTTGGAAAAACGCTAAAAGGGCAGGATAAAAACAACTAGCTCAGTTTCCTTGTTCCCTGAGCCCGTCACAATAACACGTCATACGCAATGAAGCACAATCTTGAATACACTTAATATAATTTTAGTTTGACCTGTTTTGTTAAAGTTGTTTTTTGTTTATTTTTTGTTTTCTTTGTTTTCTTTTATTAGCATAAGTACTCTATAACTTTGAGGAAAATAAAAAGTTACATTAACTAAGATCCATTTGGAGCCTGGTCTCTCTGTCTCTCCGAAAGCTTGTGACAAACGACACGATCGTAACTCAAGCGTGACAAAAACGCTGTGGTTGCGATAATGACCAAAAACAAGGACATTCAAGGGCTTATTACAATAGAACAAGCACGTATGCAAGCGGATATATCGGTGAATTTTACAAACCTCGGCTAAGATCATTGTCACAGAATTTACTACTCGATTTCCTATGTTATGGTACGTATTGACAAATAACATTGCAGAAAGGAAAGGTTCTGATCCTTGGAACGCAGTGTGCACGTTTCCTTTAACAAGGAAATAGATTCATCTCTTATGTGTGTGGTTGCTGATGTCAACAAACTCGTTGCGGTTTGAATCGGTGGAATATAACTGTATCACTCTTTACTTTCTTCGAGTGGTCAATCAGGTTAGCGCGGGCTTTCTGGAGCTTGCATCCTGATATACGGTTTTGTTTGACGCTATCTCCAAGTGCTAACGCAGCCGATTACGCTTTCGAAATGAAAAGAATAATAAAAAAACAATGAAAGCAATTAATGCAGCAATGAAGAGTTTTTTTTCTCTGTTCAACAGGCATTTTGACAAGATTAAGGGTCGGCGAATATACGAACACTATAAGTTCACTCTACAGTGTATTTTATCGGATTTTCCTGCCCACTGAGCGAGTTACATCCCTGCCAAGATTCACGTACAGACAAAGCAGCACTGAACGCAGAATGACATCACTCAGGGAATTACCTGGAGTATTTTTATCCACCACACGAGCCAGGTGGCTAGTCGCAAGAAATAACAGTGAAGATCAGCTATTGAAGGAAAAGGCTTGCATGATAGACCGAGTTAAAAGGAAAGAGGAGAGAGCCCTTCAAAAAGAAAAAATAGAGGTAATACAGTGTCAGAAACGAACAAACCAGACTCATACCCCGCTACGGTACTCAAGATTTGACCTTGAAAAAAAGTGTAAACGCAAGGACCTGCAAGAGTAACCATGAAGGATGGACTATCACAAATATATGTTCCACATAATGATTTTCCTTTGTGAAGTTAACTGCTGAAATACTCCCATTTATACCTCCCATTTCTCAGGACACTTGAGGATTAACTTTAGTCGCGGTTTTTCAAAGTTTCATACTCTTTCGTTTGTAGTAGTTTTGTATTATAACATTTGAGCACGGAGACGTACTTAGCTGTGTTTGTCACAAAGTTGTCATTTAGCGGGAGAACCTCTTCTCCTGCGAGTAATTCAGTGGCAAAACTAAACAAAGCGGACTAAAGCAGACGTGACACATTTGCTATAGCTGTATCGCGCTATTTGTATTTATGAAGGTCGACGATATTCAGTTGTTGTTCAGGCAGTATTTTTATTCAAAGAAATGAGGTGCTATAACAGGTGATACGTTTTATAACAAGACTACAAAGAAAATCAGTTATCTCTTTATTTGGTTTCTGAAAAAAACCTTCCCATGTTCGGTACGTCCTCAAGCTCGCACTTCCTCATCCCTTTTTCTCCTTTTTCTCTTTTCAGTTTCTTTTGCTTCGCTTGAGAGTAATTTTCAGGCTTACTGGACTCTTAAAACTGGTACGTCAGCCTCAGTCCGCTTAAAATCTCATTGCCACATTTTCGTTGGCTGAATATAGATATCCACTGACTTATCAAACGATCGCAACACGCTTTACCTTACAGATTTAGGTTTAAATATAAGATAAAAGAAAAACATCCCTGCCGAGAGGAAGTCTTCAATTTTGGGGAAGGGTTAAAATGTCTCAGGGAAGAGAAAGGTTGCTATCCAAGCATCACTCATCCCCTAGTTTCTTTCTTTAACTATTTGTGTTTCCAGGTCAGTCGAAAGTTGTTTAAAGGGCGGATAGCACTATCCGCGCCGGATAAATCATTATCCGCTGGATAGCGCAATTGGTTTTCCACTGGACAGTGATTTATCCGGTGGATAGTGCTATCTAGCTTTTGAAGAACTGGGGCCAGATCACCTTTATGTCCTTATCAGAAGCTCTGCCTCAATGTTATTGGGTGCCGGGGTGTCTAAGATCAAGGGTGCGTAGACAATGTTCTGTGTCTGTCGTTAAGACTGTAAAACAAGGCTGCAGCAGCTACTCTACTTCTAGTTTCCATCAGCTCCAAGTCATGCGCCCACTCTACGCTTCCCCAACGACTAATCTACAGTAAAATAACCACAACAGAATCGGGATAATTCGATAAACATAATCACGACTTGAGATAAAATATAAAAACAAATGCACAGGAAAAGTAAAGTACGACAAAACTTGCTCAAGCAACTGCGACCGTTTTACATGCAAAATCTTGAAAGCAGAAAAAAGGTGACAGTGAAAAAAAGATGTACCAAAGACAGGCTGGCGTCAAATATGGACGGGAGCGTGCGCAGAAAAACGGCTTCCTCGTTCATACTACTTCATGAGAAAATTCTGCAATTTGATTGGCTTAGAGCAGTGGTATTTCCGCTTAATTTGAAATACCTACAAGTGAAAATTACGAACCTTTTGTGGGTAGTAGTATAAACAAATAATAGCATGATTTGTACGAAATATTTGGCATAAATACCACTTGTGATATTTCAAAATTGTCTCAAATTTCACTCGCCTAGCGGCTCGTGAAATTGCGTAAAACAATTTCGAAATATCACTACAAATCATGCTATTACCTGTACAAATACATTGAAAACACTTTTTGGGCTTTCCAGAAAACTTTTGGATCTCTGGAAATGCATTCTAAGTGGCGCTATAAAATGTGTACCTATTCGGTCATCCTAGGGCAAATTGAGTCTTTACGAATTACAAAAGCTTGAGTATTATTTTCCCGAAAATTTTAGATCCTACCTAAAATTTTACGAAAGTAAAGATTTTTCTGATTCCTCTCTCCATCGCAATTTCGTACTCGAAATTACACTTTAGAAAATCTTAGGGAATTCATTAGATAAGCTCGAAAAAAGTACATGAATGGAACGGTCGTCTAGAACTTTTTAGCCTTCCTCAAGTCATAGAACAGATATTTTACAGAAAACAGTCGTTGGGCGCCCCTGAATTCTAGACACAATTCAACTCCAGTTACGCTGATAAGTACTGTCTTCACGCCTGGCTGGTGTACAAAGAGTAAGAGTATCCAAAAGTTCACTGTACTCTTAGAACGGCTGCCAACAGTAGAAAACCTGATCTATCGTCCTTCAAAAGAAGGCTTCTTTATTTCCTTACTAGTCAACCAAAAAAGCTGTACACTTTCTCTTATTTTCTACACCTACTGCAGTGTACGTATAGCAAATAAAGATTGAATTGAATCGAAATGAAGATCACGACGACATTTTCAGATCCATCGTGTTTGCGACCCCCAACTTGCAAGCTAAAGTGAAACGTGCAAGAGATCGCCGGCAAATTTGTATATGTGCCTCGAGTCATAATATCCTGTGTAAGCGGTCACCCTCTGTTAAGCGGTCACTTATCAAAGTCGCGGAAACCCTTAATTACTTCAGACCTGTATTAAGCGGTCGCGGTCACCTTTTGCGAGATTCCAACGAGTTATTTTCTATTGTCTCCAGCTCTATTTAACGGCAAGGAAGATGCCATGTACCATACAGTGCAACAGATACTAACACTGTGTATGGCGCTCAGTTTTCTTTTACGGTTTGCTTCTTTTCTTTGGCACAAGAAGAGATAGAAACATTTTGAGGTCAATTTGTCGTGGCACAAATATTTCGCTCTTCTTCATTATCTCAATTTTTTTTCAATAACCCTTTAAGTTGATCAAATCCGTATTAAAAGGCCAGTAAGCCTTTCCCCTAGGGTATCACAATACGTTTCTAGGAAACTGACGGACCTACCCCTCCCTAGTCTCCTTCGCAGCCGTTATTAGGGTCGTCACTCGTCACGCAACGCTCCTCCCCACTAGTGGGGAGGAGCGTTGCGTGACAAGTGACGACCCTAATAACGGCTGCGAAGGAGACTAACCCCTCCCCTAAGCCAACATTTTGCCCTAAGTGAGAAGTAAGTGTTAATGTTGGCTTAAGGGAGTGGTAGGTGGGCAGTTTCCCATAACCTTATAATGATCACCCACGGATCCCGCGGCCTTACTGTTCAGTGTAGTATAAATGTCTATTATAAGTACATGATATAATAGTTATTTCAAAACACCTACCTGAAACTCAAGCTCTAATCTTGAGAGGGAAACAGCTCTTTCCACATTGAGACAATTGTCAATAAGGGCCATAGCAAGGATGAAAGACTTCAGTGTTTCCACTGCAAATTCTAGCCCTGCATAGAAATTGTTTAAATAATTGATCATCTACTTCTGGTACTCTAGTTGCCATAATTGACTACTAATGTACACCTAATACAGTAAGGTTCAATGACTTCAATTCTAATTCTAATTGTGTAATCTGCAAAGGACATAGCTAATCACCGTATATGTGCAATAGCGCAGTTCAAAAGTTTAAAAATAAAACTACAACGCGTGACATTACAATTTTGGTCATAAACACCATTAACTTACACATATAGTGCTCGACCTTTTCTCCCTCTTCCCTTCCAATGTTGGCCGCGACATTCGACATAACGAGCTAATATACAATTGGGGAGGGAAAGGGGAGGGGGGGGGGGGGGAAACCGGGGTAAAATTAAAAAAAAAACAACGCACGCGTGAAATTATAAGTTGTAACAAAAAAACCTTTAAATCTCACACTGCTCGCCCTCCCTTTCCCCCCCCCCCCCCCCAGGTGGGGGGCGACAATATCGAAAAAAAAAGAAAAAAAAAGAGGGGGGGGGGGGGGGGGGGGGGGGGGGGGGGGGGCAAACCGGGGCTACGCGACCCAGGTTAATAACCATCCCTGATTGTAGGTGCAAGATGAGTGTAAAAAGTGTCCGGGTTCAGTGTTATTCACGTAACTCATGACATGAAGGCCTTCTTAAAAAGCCTCCTCTGATTGCTTTTCAGTAATTTGGTTAGGTAACAAATTCCAGCCGGTCTCTAACTAGGAAAGTGTGTTTATTAGTGTTTGCCTTTGTACTGACTTTAACAAATTTCTTGGCCTCGAGAAAACGTATTGCTCGGTTTGATTTGATTGGCTGAAAAAATATGACCGAATGAGCTGCCCTCCGTTGCCCCTTCCCCAGCCGTGAGCGATACCGCCAGCTAAGCAGGTTAGACTTAAAAAGTCGCGTTCCATTTACAACCGGAGTTTCTTGAAATTAAGCCTGTTCTAGGCGTTCAGATAGTAAAGCGCGGGGATCAGATGGTGGGGAGAGAGTTAAAACGTACGCGGGAAAAAAGAGGCGGAAAAACGAGGGAAGAATGGGGGCCATCCCCTGCTTTCCCTCTCTATTCTCCCCTCGTTTTTTTTCCCCTCCGTCAAATTTTCTCCCGCGGTCTACTATCTCAGCGCCTGAAACAGGCTACGGGAAATTTTCTGTAAAATGGTAAACAACTAGACTTTTATTATTGCCAAATTCCACTCAAACCGGAAACTACGTTAGTTTCCTGGAAAAGGCATGTCACAATAGAGTGGAAGAAGGGTCGCCGGGTGAGCGTAGTTCGGACGATGGTACAGAAATAATTCTGGAATTCCGAATGGAGCGAAAAAAGAGGAATTATTCGTCTGAGGATTTTCACCTCTTACAGAAATTTTTCCACCACGGTGAGCTGTACAGCGGCCGAAATTTCCGATCTTCCAATGCAAATAAATCAATCCTCAAACACTCAACCCAAACCGCTGAAAAGTAAAGAAAAGTAAGGAAATCACGTGACACTGACCAGCTAGAGACCACTTGTTCAGAGGTGAGAGATAATCTTTTAGTCTGTCAATAGCTTCATCTGGTACAGCTATCAGTAGACCAGTACTTGGTTTTATCGAAACACGGTATCTGTAAACCAAAAATAACAAAACGACTCTGAGTGATGCTACACAAGACGATTTACAGCGACGACTTTTTGGGCCACAACATTGCCTTGAAAGTTGATGCACTGTAACATAAATGTGCGGACAATTTTCTGCACAATTTTCCGCACAAAGTTTTTGAACAAGAGTCAATAACTTGCAACGTGCTAGCTCACGAATTCTGCCCAAGCTATATCATGTAAAGGGTCGACCATTTGACTTTTGAGGGGAAGAGGGGTATGGGTGATTTCAGTATAAATGTGTCCTGCAGACTGATTTCGAGGGAAAAAAATTCTTGCGAGGAAATACCTGGCGAAAAAAAAATTCCTAGAATGAAAGAAAAATATCTTTCATGGCGTATAAAGCTGGAAAAAAAATCTTACACTGTTGCATGTCAGGAAAATAATTCTATCACCAAAGGTTTATGAAAAAAAATTCTTACCCCAACCAAATCACCCATACCCTCCACCCTCCTCCCTCAAAAGTCAAATGGTCGGTCCCTAACATTCCTAATCATCAATTTTCTGCCCAACAACTTCCCAGACCCTCATCGCTACCTTTGTTGCGCTAAAAATCATCCACCGAAACGCGTTTGTTGCCAACGTTAAAAAACCGACGGTGTGTTACGCTTATAGCCTGAAGCGGCAGGCGTTAAATTTGGACGCGCGAAAGCGCGAGTGTTGCGCTGGAAATCATCGTTGAGATCGTCCCGTGGAACATTTCCTTTAAAAAGCAAGAGTATATACTATTCACAGGTAATAAAACTATGATGTGTAAAAAGAGCTTCTTTAAAATTTCACAAAAGATGATTACAAAACAAGGCTGGCCAACGTCATTAAAAGAAGAAGCCCAGTAAAATTTTCCAGTGCCAAAAAAAAATATATTGCTGAATACGGTGCATGCTTCGTATGCTCTTTGACACATACCTCTCACCAAACCATTCAACAAGAGGTTTCCATTCTTTCATTTGCAGATCCACTAACTCCTTTGGCTCATCAGCGAAGAAACTGCAATAAAGTATCCCAGTTACGTAGCATTATTAACAACAAAGGCAATAGCATCAGACCAAATGTGATGTGCTCCTTCAATGTCTAGGGGTACCGAACCAAGGTTTCCACCTTAACCCTTTAAGCCCCAATATCCACATACAAATTCTCCAAACTGATCTCCATACATTTCTTTGAAGAATTAGTTGAGAGAATTTGATAAAAGATCATGGAATTTTCTCTATGATGATGATTTTATAAATTCTCATAACTTTATTTCTTGACAGTGTATGGATATTGTTGGGAGAAAATTGTTGTTGGTCACTTTTGGGACTTAAAGGGTTAATACATTGAAAACGGCACTTTTAAGGTTTTCCAGAGTACTTTTAAATCTCTAGAAATGCACTCTGAGCGACCGGTGCTATAAAATTTTTATCAGTATGGTCATCCTACTGAGGGCAACTTGAGCCTTTTCGACATTACACTAAGGGCTTCAGTATTATTTTCCCGAAAATTTTAGATGCAATTCAAAGTTTTACAAAAGTAAGGATTTTTCTGATTAATCTCTCCATCGCAGATTGAAATACACCGCTCACATTTTAGAGTCTTCACAGCTAATAAAACCACAGCTTAACTGAGTCAGATGGCCCATAACATCAAAACTTCGTTGACCAATCAGATCAATGACAGGAGTTTCCTAACATCAACTGACCACACACAATGCAATTTGAAAAAATGTAACACAGAGCTTACATACCATACAGTATCAGAATTGAGATACTCCAAAATTTGTAAGATCTGCTCATCAGGTGCTTTTGTTTGTGGATTGTCAATCACAGTGTTGCTAAGAGATGTCTGAGTAAGAGAAGAAATATAATTCAAGGCTGTACTCTAAAAAAATGGAGGGGAGCCTGATGCTATGAACCCATCAAGAAGCCAAAGAAACAAACCCAAGTGCATAAGAAAGTTGCTGGGACAGGGTGCGACTGGGCACTGCTAGAGTACAGCCCTGTACATTTTTAAATCATTTTTTAAATCATTGTCATTTTTGGTCAGTTCATCAAGATTGGGCTGCATAACAAAGCATGAAAGGTGCATGACATTTGACATGAATCTTTTTACATATAGTGGTAGTTTTCAGGGCAATGAGAAAACTGGATTTTTGGAGGTACTATTATGACCCTGTCTAATAAAAGGGCATCATCTCTAACGTCTTTCATTTTGAGGGTAAAAACCAGGTAGCCGTGGGATTACTCAAGATTACTTGTATAAACTACCCTTGATAGGGAAGAATAATCAAGGATTTCTCAGCTTTTTAGGTAATGAGTTTCACCAGCAGGGATAATAAGCACTATAAACTTAAAAACTAATTCGGACTTCTTTCATCCTGCCCCCTCCCCCCCAAAAAAATGAACGTCTGAGTTTACCCCTGGGATTGCGATTGATTGTGACTAGATAAATCCATCTTAGGTTAAACCAGAATTTTCTGTGAATAACTAGGGTCTGGAAACAAAGGAAATTCTGAATCATTTAACTAGGATGGATGACCACCACTGTCCAATATTAATTTTTTGGTCAATGTTGTTGTTACCATACCAGATGCATGTTTTCAGGTTTTATAGTCTCCTTCTGTGAATTCCATTCAACAGCAACAGCCATTGCAAGTGGCTTGGTGGGAACAATCAATGGATTCCCTGCTGGAGTCTTCACTCTTTTGTTATCCACTGTGATCTGAAAGCCACCTTTGGTTACAACAGATTTAAAAGTTATTTTATTTTACCAAGGCATATTCACACTGAATTTTTATGCGATGCCATAATTTCTTACCCTCTGCTTCCTGAATTCCAGCATTTTTATAAAATCTTTTCCTCACTGAAAAGAAAATAAAAGATAATACTAAGTGATTAAGTCAATCGATAGTGACCAATTAAGATGACAAGCTTTGGTGAGTCCACTACATACGTCACACAGTGAATTCAGTCAACAATCCCCAGCTTAAGCAACAGTGGTGACTTCTCACATGTAAGACAACTGAGATTTACAACTTTTATTCAGAGGGTGAGAAATTTTCATGCGCAATTTATCCTGCTGACTATGACCAGATCATGTGGTCCTAATGGCTCACTCAGTCCTAAGCGTACCCATACCCCTGCCAGGAATTGGTCATTTTGTTTTGGAAAAGCTGCAAATGCCTGATGGTGGGGCTGGGCGATTCATATAAAAACCCCATGGTGGGGTTTAAACAGAGGGTGCAAATGCCCCACCCCAGGACACACCAAAATTGCATTTCCCTGTAAATAAGCTGCAAATACCATATTTGTGGTAAATCTGATTTAATCTGATCAAAATGTGAGTTGCAAATCGCACCTAGCCACTAGTTATATTTATTGCGAAAAAGATCACATTCATATCTGATTAATATTAATGACAGAACTATAATTTATTAAGATATTGAATGATAAACAAACTTCTGACGAGCTTAACATGAGTATTTTCCCATCATGATGGAACCGTTTCAGATCTTTCTTTTGACTGCTTGCGAGTACTTGAATACGCAAAAATATGGACTGTTTTGCAGTCTAATTAAGATCATACTATGCATGCAGAGTTTTCCAGGTCTTCTGCCTCAACCATTTACGCACAAAAAAAGTGTCTTTTCCTTTGAACTCTTCAAATGATACATTGATTGCTTTCCCTCCACGTGCATCACAAAATAATATTCCTTATAGAAATAATTATCTAGAGCTATCCAAATAGGTATTATTTTAAGTGGAAGATTGAAAAAGGAATGACGTTAGCCACTTCTAGAAGAATTGGAAGAATGAATCAGGCAGAATGAAGAATGAATGAGGCAAAAAGTGTTTCTGACAAAAAGTGTTTCTGACAAATCCCACTGCCAGGACTGACATGATGACAAATGCCTGACAAATGCCCAGGGGGAGGGGGTTAGGCATGCTTGGAATGGCTTGAGCCATAAGCTTGACCACATCTCCCTAATGTTACTGTCAAGCGTATCAGTATATCATTATTACAGCAACAGTATTTTTTTGCTGCAGCTCCTCTTAGGGAGGTTAATATGTCTGAATTTCAAAACCTGTTGTTTCACATACTGTATTGAGGAGGAAACCATGTCGCTGTCAGTACTTTTCTATTGTATTTGGGCTTTTTTCTGTCGCTGTTGCAGTTTTGACCTATCTTTGAGTTGTTCGTCGCCATTTCTGCTTTCCTATGGCACTGTTTCAAGAGGGGGAGGGGGGAATCTGTTATGATTTATTAATGAAATCTGCTCTTCCATTTTTGCCCTGAATCCGAAATCCGGGCAAAAATATTTTAATTACATGCAAAGTCCAAAATCCGCGCCCAGGAAACAGATGAATCCGCCATCCCCTGCAATTGCAGGATCCGGAAACCCATTAAAATCTGGCTTTGAATGCAAAATCCCGGACAAATATTTTCAAAATCTGCCACTCCATTAGCCTATTCACCCCTCTATATCAAGGCTATGTCACTTGACAGAATGTTACCCTAACAGGGCCTGTGCTATTCATAAAATGCTAAAATACCCCCAGAGTGCTTTCAGTGGGAGGGGACTGGAGGTCAGAGCCTAACGCTTTCCGTCCCTTCCCCCTACGTCTCTTGTTCCCTTCCCGCCCTTATTCTCCCAGGCCCCACCTGCCTGTTCCCCTCCACTATGGGGCAGTGTAAAATGCAGACTACGGAATGACTTGTTGTCTCGTACTCATTTGCGTGGTGAAAACAAAGGTCCACAGTCTTCGTTTTACACTGACCACTCCACTATACAAGCAATCCTTTTTATTATTCCCCCAACTACCTAACGGAACATGATGGGAAAAAATCACAAAATCTATGCATAACAATAGTATTAGGATATAGAGAAACAGCCGAACTTTCACCAAGCCCCATAAAAAGCTTATCTTAATGTACAAAAGAATTGAAACATCCTGAAAACTCGCACCTCTAAATGAAGACAGACACCTCGCGATCCTTGGTGAGGCTGATGTGATATTACACCTTGGGTACAAAAATTGTCGATATAAGGCATTCCCAAGCAAGAATATTTGCCTAGCTGGTGGAAAAACGCGAGACCACCAAACTTTGTGGATCGACATTGCCTTTAGGGTGAGTGTAAATGAAATTCTGTAACATGTGCTCCTCCGTCCGCCATCTTGGTCTGGCTTTGTAACCTTGCCTTTTGAGGCTAAGGGGCTTCGGGCTGAGAAAAGTCGGTTTATGGCGCTTTTTCGAGCAAATATGGGGTGTTTACCATTTACCACAAATTCGCGGAAATTCTTGTTGGGATGTAAATGGTAAACGAATTTTTGGTTCGTCCCACAGGTAGTCCCGTTTTCCCAGTTGGGACGTTCCGAATGGAAATTCGTTTACCATTCCCATACAAGTTTCTTGAGTTTCGTACTAGTTTTTTGTTGTAACTAGAATCCAGTCTAGCGCCGCGCGACAATCCGGAAATTTTAGGCAAATGGTAAAACGACACGTATCGTAATTCCCAACCAAAATTTCCCGGAATTTTTTTTATAAATGGTAAACAACCATGGTAAATTTCCCGCTGTAATTGAAAAAAGAAATCCAAATGAAAGATGACCACCCAGAAAGAGGTTAACCCCCGGGAATGGCAGAGAAAAAGGGAGAATGAGTGAGAATAAAGAGCCTGGGTCCCTAGTGAGAATGGATTAGAAAGAGAAAAGGGAATCGCACAGGCATGCTTTTCTCCGCTTTCCGCCTTTAGAACACCGACTTACGATTGCTAGTGAGCCTGCTTGCGAATTACGGTCGGATTTGCCTCCACACCGGCCAAAGAATTTGCCCCTTATGCAAAAACCGACGGAGAGTGAGAACGAAAAACAGAAATTTCTTAAATTGCTCAGCCTATACAGGAACCGTAGAAGAGAGCTATTTGACTGGCTAAATATAAAAGCTCAATAAGATCTTGATCTTGATTCTGTGGCTCCATGCACCGCCTTTTTGAGTTGATAAGCATGAAGAAGCAAGAAGAAGAGGCACAAAAAAGTGGCCAGATACGTATGGGATTGCATCATTTGCATGCGAAAAGCGAAAGATGCCTCAAGGAAAATCTGAATGATATCCGACGTTCTTATCTAGTAACTGAAGATAAAATTGTCAAGGACTGAAAAATTACTTTTTGCAACCTTTATTGTCTATGTAACGCATATGCTATCAGGCGCCAAATGCCTTGTGGATAATAAAGTTTCTATGCATCTGTAAAATATCAAGACGAAATATATCTTATAAAAAAAAACCTGTGTTTTTGTGTGTGCACACAAAAATAAAAACTTTCTAAATTTTATCTGAACCACGTTATTTGGGATCATTATGCGTTTCTGGGAAACTGCCCACCCACCCTCCCCTCATTTGTAGGTATTCGTGCTTTCCCCTGTTTAGTTCAATAAACATTGACAGTACGAACCACGTAGCAACTAGCTGTTATTCCCTGAACAAGAATAAACTATTCCAGGCGTTCAGACAGTAGGGAGCGACGTAAAATGACAGAAGCGACGAATTCGCGCTGCTCTCTGCTATCTTAACTCTTCCGGGCCTGGAACAGGCTAATTTTACGAGGGTATACAACTTAACGGTATAACGTTAATTCGATCATCTTTTCTGAAGAAACGTAGCATAAAAAATATCAGAATAACCACCAATTTTGAGCGTGTTTAGAAAATCCCAAGATTTATACAAAAAACGAAAAATCTTCTTTTCCGTACACTCATATTCAGAAATGACTGATTGCTTAAATACTACAGAATCTATCATTTTCAATTTATTTATAAAACAAACTGTACAAGAACTTCAAAAAATAAATATTTTACAACTAACTGCAAAAAATATACATTACGTTATAACAATGAATGATGAACCAGTGAACGTTTCAGTTAAAGAACAAACCAACCGAACGAAGGTGAAATATTACAATAAATAATTTTTTTGTGACGCAGCGTCATCTGTAAGTCTTGAGTTTATCATCGTCCCCAGTTTTATCCTTATTCTCGGATTTCGGGCACCAGGATGTTTCATGGTTAAGGAAGCAGTGAACAGATTTGAACCTGTGGAAGAAAACAAAACAGTTATACAGCTGTGCACATTTTACTAGGAAAAACTATTACGGCAGGGATCTCCTTTATGAAGAACGATACTGATAACAAACATAGCTAAAAGGGAGATACGAGCAAAAAAGGCACGATCTAGGAACCGCTCTTAGAAATCCGCCACTTTAGGTTGGCGCCCTGTGTACGAGCAGCTGTAAGCCGCTGAGTCACAATTCTAGAGCTGATTTGAATTAAATGGGAGCCGTTCAAGCGTATCAAGTGATGTGTAAGCTAACCTCGTCCCAGGACTTTCCTGTCCCTACCATTTTCTAAGGGAAAAGCTCTGGGGACGAGGTTGGATCTAAGCCCACTCTTAAGCCACAGGATCCCCACAAAGCAGGAATTTGAATCTTGCTTCTAAAGAATAATTACCTTTCCTTCTTGGAAGTCCGTCAATGCAAAGATTTCCCAAAACGACTTTTACTTACACATCAGCATCGAGACATAGAATTACTGCTATACACGCGCTTCGTGTCTTATATACTTCGTGAAATGGTTGGCTTATTTCACAGTCTGAGACTTTTGCGATTAATAAGTTACTTTAGTTCAACCACCCTGGTGCCCGGTGAGTCGTTGCCAAAACATAGAAGAGATTTCATCAGAAGGTTAAAACACGAAAAAGAAAAAGGAGGCCGCCGCCTTTTTGACGACTGTCGATAATGCCCTACCGCAAAAGTTTGGCACGCGTCTAATCAAGGGAACGACGAAGCCACTACGTACCGACTTGGATCATCGACAACGTTAAAAGGTCCATCAATACTGATGCGATTGTAACTGCCACCCATGAACCCATGGCTGAAGGTGATCTGTTGACAGTTAAAGAAAGAAAAACACGCGCAATTTAGTAACCTTACAAAGAGTAAAGATAATTGGACAAAGTGCTTGCTTTTAAGTTAACCCGAGTTAACGTTGGTGACGTCAGCTTTTCGATCGCTGAACGAGGTGCATTCCATTTTATCAACTCAGTTGGTTAAAAATGTCTATTTATAAAAATCAATAGCCCATTTCCGAGTTGCCACAAGCCTCTGTTTCAAAGCGAGGCTAAGTTCGAAGCCATTGATGTAAAGATGATTTATATTCTCATTCAAATGACACTCATTAAAGCAAGAAAGGTTTTGCACTTAGCCTCGTTTTGAAAGTGAGGGTTTTTGGAACTCGGAAATGGCCTATCATAATATGACAATCCTGAACTGGCCAAAGCTCTCGTAGCAAACCAGGCTACTGATGTTTTCTTAGGCTTTCTTAAGTTTTTCACTCAGTGTCCACGATCGAGGATTTGCCTTTCTAACAATGAATTTTATATAAACATCCCACCTGTTTACTGAATTCACTTTGTGGTAAGAAGGGAAGACTTTCCAAGTGTGAGTGGAAAAGCTCTGATCTCTTCAATTTTGCTTTAACAAGGACTTCTGCAAAGTAGCAAGATCAAAAAATGCTGCATTATGTCTCAAAATGAAAGAAGCTCATAAAAACTATAGAACTAGCTGTGACAGAGTAGTTTAGCTAGCCTGAGGAAACAGCCAAACATTTTGTGGCCTGCGTAGCAAGCGTTTCCGTTTGGTTTCGGGGCAAAGGAAGACCGAGGAACGGGATTTTCGGTTTTGTTCCGAAACCGCACGGAAACGCTTGTTACGCAGGCTAAACATTTCGTGACGTCACCACTGGTTTTCCCGCGAAATGAAAATTCCATACTGATGACGCGTCACTACTAAGATCTCAGTGCTTCTGATTGGCCGTGGCGTGAGGGAAATTTCCTTCAACTAATCAAAAGCACTACACAGATCTGGGTAGAAACACGTCAGTCAGTATGGGGAAACCAAGGGTGAGGTCGCGAAATGTCGGCTCTTTTCTCAGGCTATAGTTCAGCAAGACTCGCAATTAAACAAGGAATAAGAAATTCGGTAAGGATGAAATAACGAATTCCGTACCGAGAATGTTTTTTCGCCCATGCCTATTCAGCTCTATTCATCTAACTGGTACTGCAGTCGAACCTCACCAACGTACACCACTCTGTTACAGACAGTTCTCTTGGTCCTAACAATTCCCAGTTTCATACAGTATTCACCTTTTATTATAATACCGACACTTAATTTTCAGTCAGTGAGGAGGTTTGACTGTAACTCTGTATCACCTCGCCTCCCAACAAACAGTACTGACACATCTCACTATGCGCGTAACCGCTTAAGAATGCGTCGGTGTTCCCTGAAAACCTTCTTGGCAATTCCCGAAAACACTCACCTGTAATCTTCGTCTCGTAACCGCGCAAGATTTTTGGCGTTATTTCCTCTAATTGATAACAACGTTATTTGCATAAAAATAGATGGTAAATACATGGATGAGTGCAAAAAGGGCGCCAACAGAGTCGAACTGAATTCTATTTAGCCGCGTATCATAGGTTTCTTTGTAAGCATTTGTAGGAAAGAAGCAGGTGAATCGAACGTCACTGCATCGATAAACTTACCACTTATGAACCCCACGGTGCAGTCATCGGGTAGTTTAATCCGTTCACAGCTTTCTATGAATTTACCATCACTAAAAAAAGAAGACAAAATCCGATCAACAAAATAAGTTCTCTCTTTTATTCACGTGTCTTTTGAGCGGCTTTCGGGCATTTTATCTGTAGAGTCAAACATCAGCCATTCTCGATACCGATACCGGCTAGAAAAACAGCCTTTGTAGGCAAAAAAACACCAAAGTGTCTCACTGACAGAAAAAAAGAAGTTTGCTTAAAATTGCGAACGAAAAGATTAGTGATCTGACTTCCAAAAAAAATTAAAACGTGGAAACAAAATGCAGGAGAGATAATTTCCTTCTGTCTCGTAAGTAGTCAGTCACGTCAAAAGATTTGCTCCATTCTGACTGCTGTCACACCCAATCAAATAACATCATGAAGTGAACACTTCTGAGATGATTACAACTGCAGTACCTTATGTAAGGCCTCATTTTGTTGACAAGAGCACGACTTAAACAGAAACCTGCTCCCCCTGTGGCGAACCAAAACTTCTTTTGCTGAAATCAAAACAGGAAAAGGAAATTAAGACGGTAACATATTTATAACGACCATCTCAATTATTTCAACAGCATTGCATCAAGTGTTGATCGCAGTTGACAAGAACTGACTCCAAGCGAATCACGGTGTTGCCACCTTCACTTGTCACAAACGAATCATACTTGTACACTGTATGATAGAAAAGTTTATTCTCTTTACTGTGTCCGTAGGCTTATTTAGTAACAGAACGGGAACGTCAGTTGGCGACGGGAAAGCGCGCGGAAAGGACTAATCGCGACTTCCGGTGCCCCATTGGTCAAGCCAGTTGTTTGATTTGCGCACAAAAGAGGCGCACAAAAAGGTCGCCTGAGAAAACAGCCAACATTTCGCGACGCTACCACTGGTTTCCCCGCGAAATGACGTCTGAGGTACGAGCTCAAAAATTCAATACTGATGACGATCACTACCCAGATCTTTGCAATGCTTCTGATTGGTTGAAGCACATTTCTCTCGCGATCCGACCGAAGAAGCACTACCCAGGGCAGATTTGGGTAGTGACGCGTCATCAGTGTGGAATTTATGCAGCCTTTGCTCAAACGTTATTTTACGGGGAAATCAGTGGTGGCATCGCTAAATGTCGATTCTCAGGCTACCAGAAAGGCAAACTTTTTGACGCCATCTCGCGTGTTCCACTAGGATGCCATCAGGGACGATCTTCAAATTTTGACGGTTGACGGTCAAATTTTAAAGCTTTTGACGGTTGACGGTTATTTAGAGGAAATGTCGTCCAGAGTTACATTAAACATATAACTCAGTATAAATTAATATTACTTGTTGTCTTGGCCTTTCACACATAAAACTTTGATATAAGCAAGTTGAAAGGTCTTGTAATTTCTAGAGAGAGTGTTTTTGAGAGCATGAGAACTGGTTTTTCCAGTTTAGAGATTCTTCAGGACATCAGAAGTCAGAAGTCCGCAAAAATCAGCTGAAATAATGAGACTTTAAATACCCTGAAACGTTTTGAGGTTTAATACTACTCTGCACTTTTGACGGTCGACGGTTGACGGCTGACGGTTAACCCACTGGGACCCTCATCAAGAGGGGATCTCGTGATGCGATACTTAACACTGTCAGGCCCAGTTCATACGTCGCGCTTCTGCCGTGACAAACTGAATTGTAATTGGGTTCAACAAAAGCACGACTTCAATTCAGACGTCGATTCAGGCGTCGTAGTTCTGCCGTGCTTTTGTCGAACTAATCCAAGAATTACGTTCGGCACGGCAGGGGCACGACACATGAACTGGGATTCACTTGTTTTGTTAGCTCAAACTCTTAGTCTAAAGAAGGGGTCATAAAACACTTTGTTCGCACCTTATTTCCATCTAATCTGTCCCAGGCCTGCAAAAAAAAAGATACAAAAATGAAAATGAAAACCAGAGTATCAAAAAATTTGTAAAACAAATTATAATTCTATCATTCCTGGGGCCTGAAAAAATACATCTTCCGTTTAGTTGTGAAATGACCTGAAGAAAACATTTAGGACCAGCAGATGAGTATTTTAAAGGCCAATGGTCGCGAAAATGTTGTAAGTGCGCGCTCAAGCGTCAATTTATTATTGTTAGCGAAAAGTAATGAGAGTCATGGAGACGAAAGTGGGGGACCGTATGTCATTCATCATAGCTAAAACAAAATTCCCTAATCTGATTGGCTACTGCAGCCCTGTTTTCAGAATAAAATAGGACCGTGTAATAGGATATAAAACGTCATCACGCCGCGCAAGGAGAGTAGTTGTTAGCGAGTTGTAATGAGAATCATGCAGGCGAAAGTGTTGGGGGGGGGGGGGGGGGGGGGGGCGGCATGCTTTTAATAAAAACTGTAAAAAAAATTCCCTATTTTGATGCGCTACTACTCCCCTGTTTTCCCCAGAAAAAAAAAAGTTGAAAAAGGCAAGTACGATGTGTTGGGACGGTTTTGTTTCCCTTTTGGGAGAGAGGGGGGGGGCAGGATATTTATAAACAGTAAACAAAAAAAGACCCCTAGCGTTGGCGGCGCGCTGCCCTCTTTTGAAAAAAAAAAAGGACGGGTGAAAAAGAAAAAAACCGGCCCACCCCCCCGCGGAGGAGGGGGTTTGTGGGGGGGTTGAATAGGAAGATTGGGGGGGGAAAGGGGGGGGGGGGGGGGGGGGGGGGGGTGGCTGCATGCTATTAATGATAACTGTAAGAAAAATTCCCTAATCTGATTGGCTACTACATCCCTGTTTTCAGCATGAAAAAGAATAGTGTAATAGGATAGTACGCTGTGCTTGGACAGATTTGATTTCACTTTGTGTTTGGGTCAGTTCATTTTTGAAGTCTAGCAAAATAAACCCTCGAGAGATGTATCACAAATCATCTCAAATTATTTTACAGTCAAGGTTAAACTAATTGGTAACGAAACTTAAAGAGTGCAACAGATTACAAAACATGTGCATTGCCGAGTGGATCCCGGTTTAACGAAGTGCAAAGGGAATGAGAAAACGTGTTCGCCCTTATCGTTAAAAAGAAGATACACTATAACGGCCTCGGGGTCTCTTTCTGGGTCCCTTACATTTTACTGTAACTGGGGTGATGAGTATCATTTTTTTACTGTCGGGGTGAAAGAGGTTCGTTATTTAAAGGTTCCACTCCAAGTCTGTGGGCAGTATCGAGGCGCGCGCGGATAGCGAAATGATCATTCAGGGGCACCCAACGAGAATATAGTTCAAAACCACTTAAACATAACATTGTTGAACGTATTTTAGTATTTAAACGGTAGATATAGGCATATTTTTACCCCCTAAAAATTTAAATCCGTTCGGATTTCCTAGCTGAAAGTGTAGTTATCCGAAAATTATAGGCGTCAAAACTTACCTTTTCGAAAATTTCAGCCCGAAAAATGCTCCCGAAAATTCTAGGTGACCTTTTTAGGGTAAAAATCCGTTAAGAAAAGGCAATTATACCATTTTTTAGATGTCCGAAAATCCAAGGAGGGGCAGGCAAGCAAGAAATTTTAGAACAAATGTTCCGAAAATTCTAGATCTCAAATCGTCTTCCAAACAGATATTTTCCAAAAATTGTCGTTGGGTACCCCTGATCATCCAAGTCTGGCCTAATATAACCGAGGTTAAATCCGCGAACAAAAATAAGGGGGGAACAAAACGACAGACAAACGTAAGGCAATAAATACCCAAAGCGATAGTTAGGAATTTTCATTAATAGCCGCAAACATGCAGTTTTACCTCCATTTCTCGTATCAGGCTTGGTTTGCCAAGGTAAACATCATCTTCAGGATTAAAATTTTTCAGCGTATTTAAAAGCGCTGGCACGTTGACATAATTGTCATCATCAAAATGGCAAAACCATCTGGCAGAAAGAGGAAAAAAAATCACAAAGACAACGTTAAGTGCAATGTCTTTTATTCTAACAACGAACTGGCTTTTTCGGGATATACCAACGGAAAATATGATTAAAATATTAATCAAAAACTTGCTCAATTTAACTCTAGTACTTAACCGTCAACTGAGTTAGTCAGTTATATATCCTGTGAGATTAAAATTCAGCCCATTGTCTTGGTATGTGAAACTTCCTGAAAATTCATCATTCACTGCTCAAGGTGATTGCTTTTTCCACATTACGGGTGTCCAATTTTACAGTGATACAGAAAACTACAACAAAAGGTTTTAAGTTCTAGAAGTAGCCAATCATAGAAAATGAAGAAAAATGCAATCCAAATTTCATTTTGTGTAATCCTGAAAAAAAAAAGACTACCACAAGGAAATGCTAATGAAGGCTAGTCACCCTATAGGATCCACTAATTTAACTTTAAGAACATGTTTATACACCATCGATAATAGTAGGATGTAAAAGTACTGCTCAAGAGGTTTTACACCGTTGGAATTCCTCACCAGACTGATTTTCTTGTTTTCATAGCTTATGATCTTGGAGTAGGAATGTTTAAGGTGCAAAAATACTTACTTTGTCTTCTTCTTTAGTTGCACAAAGAAGTCTAGCTCAGCCTGCATCTTACAGCACAGTCTTGTCCTAGATTTACAGTAGTATTAACAAAAAGCCAAGTATTAGGAGAAAAGAAAACAAGACTTAAAAAAAAGCAAACCAAACCCTTTTCTGCTGCTAAATTAAATCTTCACATAACTGCAGTTTTTCCTAGCTATTCTTTATCCAACTAAGCAAACGTCTTATGTCCCTTTTCAACAAGAAAGAAATTTAGACAGCAGTATCTCTTGCAAAACAAAATTTAGTTTAAAAAAACAGTTGCGTATTATAGGTCCGCAACGCGTACACGTAATAATTGACATGAACTGCTACAGGTGTATATGTTACCTCTGGTGTCCAGCTTCACACAGGGTATTTACAAGATGGCCACCTAAAAACGATGAGTAATTCATCAGTGCACTGACAAGTCAAACAATATACTTTTATTGTCACACAGTTACTAAACATCTTAAAACTGAAGTACATATACTGCCTGTGAGTGTCTTACTGTAAAACTCTGAAAATAAGCCCCTGGGCTTATATTCTTCAAAGGCCCTTTCTGACAGGCTTATTTTTGGAGGGGCTTATATTCGGAGGGGCCTATCTATTGAGGGAAATTTGCATTTCAACATCGATTGGGCTAGCCTTATAGTTGGAACGAAATTCACTGTTTTGCTTTGTTTTACTTTGTATTTGAGGGCAATTTCCAAGTACAAGCCCCCGGGGGGGGGGGGGCTTATATTTGGAGAGGGGATTTAAAGGAGGGTTTTTTGCGTTACGAGTGAGGGGGGCTTATATTTGGAGGGGCTTATTTTTGGGATTTTATGGTATCTCTTGCAATATGCTAAGGTCAGATCATATCCAATCAAAACCTATCCGATCTTTTCATAAAGATGTCCTAAATGTGCAGGAAAAATGGTGTTTGCATGGTCATCAGAGATGGGTAGTGGCCGTTATTACCTGAACAGGTAACATGAATGAGAATTCACAACAACTTTCAGGTAAGATAATAATAATATGAATCTCAATAATAATATTATAAGTAAGATTAACTCAAAATAATATGTCTGTTTTTAGCATTGCTTAATTCCTAATTCTTACCAAGACTTTTATTGACCTTGGCATCATCTTGATCTGTAAATAAATAAACCTACAATAGCCACAAAAGCAACTTTAGTTGACCTGTTTTCAGTGTTTCCATTTTTCCTTCAATCGATATCAAAATATTTGCAAGAAAAATAATCCTTAATATGGAAGTGGCCACAGTATACACATGTGAAAAGTAGAGTACTGTAAAATAAGTCCTAATAGGTAATCATATAACATCAAAATTAATGTTCCCATCTTGGGCAAATTGAGCCCTTTTAAAGTACAATTTAATCCCAATTATTCCTCTCAACCTATAAAATTAACCATTTCACCACTTAATATTTAAGCAAAAATAAAATGCTGAGAAAAAAATGTGTTTAATAAGCAAACATAAACAATGCTATTCATGTAACTCTAGCTGTCATGCATGTATATCGTGGGCAATCACCCACGGACTAAAATGTTTTAGAGACCAGTATTGTTCCATAGCTTATTGTGGAACTGAAAAGGTCAAATTGAACAAAGTTTATCAGACAAGTGGCCAAAAGTATGTGGCTGTCTCCTTTATAGATAAAAAATCTATTAATTTAAACAACTGTGTTCTTGGCCCAGGGTAGGAAACTTAATTAGGACAGCAAAAGCTGACCACGACCTCCAAGGAACCAACACCACAATAGAAAGTGTTAAAGACACCACTTTGGTTGCTTGTTTGCAAACTGATCCAAATTTACTGTCCAAGCCAAATCTCTTTTGTCATTTAATACTTTGTTTGCCTAGCAGTTATTTTCAGCAGTTCAGCTATTTTGGCTTAACAAGGCATTTTTTCTTTGTTTCCAAAGAGCTGGTTTCGTTGAAAAATAAGATATAGTACATGCATGTAGTCACTTTGTTAAAGTGGAAACCTATTTCATCGGGTCAATTCAGTTAAAACATTCTACTCCATCTTGAAGCACATCTCCAGACTCTTATTGGAGAGCAGCTCCTGGTGATTTTGATAGTAAGAAAAATTCCTTCCCAATGGGTAAACTCCTCAAGATGTAAGCTTTCTAAGGTTACATGTCTACTTTTAGCAAAATCAGAACCTGATGTGTAAATTTAGCGAGCCATATTTCTGAGAAATAACAGTAATTAGCAATTAATTTTAATGATTTAAAAATCATGTGTAAGCCCAAAGGGAAGTGGGGGGGGGGAAGCTTTCAAGGGAAATTTGAGTACAAAATAATGCAATACGTAACCTCATGTAATTAGATTTTTTTTTCAGGGGGGGGAATTGTTGGAACCACAAATGTAGATTGCTAAAAGCCAACATTCCACACTTTTTAAAAGCTTCAGATTTTTGCAAGATGCTAAATAGTGAAATTAGACTCAAGACCCTGAAAACCACCATACCCTCTCCAAAAGCACATACCACGGCCCATTTACACCAAATAAGGGAGTGCCCTCAACCCCACCCCCCCTGCTGTCTCAAGAGGAAACTGGAATTGCTATAAGAGAATTTGCAGCTTCATCATATTCTAAAGACAATCCATAACTGACCGTACCAGTCATATTCTCCCCCATGGGTGACACTAGTAAGCTTATCATATTGACAGTGTGGTAGAAAAGCAGATTTCAATACTGGCATCAAAAAATTCTTAACTGCGAGACGGAAGGAATGATCCTCAAAAACAGATAAAGATTTTACCTGATTCTTTGCGTTTTGGATCCATGTATCAAGTAAAATTTGAACCCGTGTTTTGTGAAACTCTCCAGTTGTTTTGACAGATATAAATACATCTTTGATCTCTGTGTTCTTTGTCCTTTCTGGACTCTCTGTTCTAAATTCGTGACCAGCATTGTTTTCATTTGCATGTTTCAGGTCATGATGGCTTAATTTATGTCCCCTTCTTTCTTGATCACTTATCCTCGCTGATAAGTCATTATCTTGATTACTTCGTCTGATCTCTCCCGGCGAATGATGAAGCTTCTTTCGGTTTCCAGACAGTTGGAATGCAGCTGATTTTATCAATACACTTCTCTTGAAATCAACGCTCTCGTCTTTTTTGCGAGAGTGATCCAATTTTGCTCGAGCAATAAACTTCAGGTTTTCTTCGGTATGCTCGACATCTTGACTTTGAAGCCTGAGGCGTGTTTTGATCTCATTCGCAAATGTCCTTGTTGTCCAGCCGTGCCTAATTGGCGCGAAATTGAACTCCTCGTAGAGAAACATTGAAAAGATCGCTTGGCCAACAGCCACTAAACAAATCCAGACCAACACCTTTCTATATTTTCTTCTTGCACAATACATCGAATCCCTTTTCAATAAAATTCGAAAATTATACACTTTGCATCATAGTGGTCTTCCGTCTATTCCTATATCCGAATGTTTGAAGATATATGGCTGGAGGACGAATCCGCCAAAATCATTATACAGCACATAGCGATGCTCTTGGCAGTTATTTGCTGCTTGAACAAGTCAATACACGCTTTTCAAAAGTCAAAGATCAGCGTGAGGAAGATGGGGTCGCTGATAACTTCAACACTGTTCCCGCAACACTTAACACGGTTCCACAGAAGGAGTAAGTTGCGTTGCAAATTATCACCCGTTTCGCAAGAGACAGATATTTGATATACGGCGTCTTACTTTTCTCTTATATCTTGTTAGACACTAATCCACGACAGATGGTGTAAAATTCTTCACACACATCCTTAACTCTAATAGTGACAGGAAATCCGAACTGGCGTTAATCACCGAACTCTCAGCGTATTAACTGCTACAAAGTCCTCATGTTTGTAAGGAAGGCAGCGTCTTCTGAATTGAAAGCAAGTTACGGTAACATTTCAAAACCGTTTTGAAAATTTACCGCGTTTTTTAGCCAGTAAAACATTGTGAATTGTGAAGCTCGAGCAGGTGACACTATTATCTTCGCGAAGCGTCACGAACTAATTTGCACGCGAGAGACCGATCACTTTCTAGGGTAGGGTAAGAGCAGCACTGCACTTTAACGAGTGTGGAAAAATGCCTAGAATAAATAATATCACCAAATTATTTTTGTAATATGACGGAATAAAAGGCACTCGTGTGTTAAAAATTAAGTTTAAAAGGTGCATTTCGAGGCTGAATGCAAAATAAGCTTTTCTCATTGGCATCTACCCCTCTCTAGCTAGGGATATTATTTTACCAGCGGTGACAAGAATCACGCACGCGCTGAAATAGACAACACGTGCAAAGTACAAAAGAAAATGGCACCAATAGACTCTTCAATTGACTCTTCTAATTTGTCTTTTGAAGAGCAGAATAGCGGCAAAAACAAAGCGAGAAAACGAAAACATGACGGCATAGAGTTTACAGAGGAACATGAGCTTCCAAATGGTATTGTAATTGGATAATGTTTTCCTCTTGTTTGATTTTGTTTAGTACAGTTGCATGATTCAAGCTTAAATACTTGCTGGGATTCTTAATTTTTTTTTTTTACGTGATCCAAACAGGTGATTCTTGTAGCCAAATCCTGTCTGCCTTGCGAAACATATGCACTTGCTTTGGAGTGGATGGTCTTTGTAACACAAAGAAAAGGTAGGTACGTCAACTAATGGGCTCCTGGTATGGTTTAGCTTAACTTCCTGAGAAGTTAAGAACCCGAACTGCAAAATTTGATTGTTCCATATGACGTCACGGCGGCCATGTTGGTGATCAAGAACAAAAGCATTTCTCTCCCTTGGGAACTAAACTCCATTTTCATGTAAATTCTTTGAGAAAAAATTATATTGTATTGACCTTCAACAGGGCTACCCTGTTTCGTGGTTTTACATTTTACACAGCAAGATTTTTTTAACGTCTTAGAAATTTATATATATATTTTTTGCCCAGTTTTCTGTTACTAAATTGTTCAGAAGATAACCACTTGTTCATTGTAAACTAAATATCAAAAAAAAAATACAGACACAAGTAGTACTATTTCAGTCAGATATCTCCCAACGGCCACCCCGGGCAGAGGGGTCAGTGTTCATTAATTTTAGCCGCAAAGGGGGGAGGAGGGGTGGGAGCAGTTATGAGGAAGCTGATTGTAACATAATTAGTATTCTATTTTCTAGTGGAAGGGTACAACATTTTTTGTTTGTAATGATGCTTGTAAAAACATACCTGTAAACGTTAATCAATAAAACCGCTAAACAAAATCACCTCAGTCTCATTTTTATCTTGCTTAAGTATGAAATAGTAACAAAACAAAGTTTCTACTTCATTTATTTTTACTGGCTGTTGAATTGTGGCAGAGGTTGTTTGACAGCTGGCATGCACTTGATTTGCTTTTGCCATTATTTTGTGGAGATGCTGTCGTAAAAGTGATTAGTGCATTTGCTGTCATAAGAGTGAGTGTGTGGACTGTGTCAAGAAAAGTGGCTTTTGTGGAGAGGTGGCCATTGTCAAGATGTAGCCATTATTAAAGGTTCAGCTGTACAGTAAAAAGAGTAAAAAATATTCATCCTTCTTTGCTGGGAAGAATGAGATCTTTTTTAGGAGGGGTGCATATGTGCCCAGTCTGAATTTGAAAGCCCACCGTTTCGCTTACTGAGGAGGAAACAATGTCCCTGTCAATATTTTACTGTATTATTGTTGCAGTCTCAAAAGATCTTCTTCTTTCTTCTTCAAGTCGCCTTTTTCTCTGTCTTACGTCTCTTTTTCAAGGCCATGTTGCTTGTGTGATGTTTACTCTTCACAGAGTCCCAAGAATGTGGTTACGAGGGGAGTAAGGCTCTGTCCATGTGACTTGTGTGTTTTTTGAGAAGTGTTGCTTTTTTGGTAAAAAAATTGGTAAAAAGCTCTGTACATGTGTCCACACAGTTATTTGTTGTCAAACAGAAATGCATTGATGTGCAAAGAAACATCATGGATCAATGCTTGCAACTGACTCAGTCTGTACGTAGCTGTTCTTTGTCTCATTATGGGGAGAAGCATAATAATATTTTATTGTGTTGATGAAAACTTTATTTATACTTGAGGGTCTGGAGCTTATTAGGCTCCTAGCTTAAATAGCTAATGAATCGAGGTTAAAAACAAACAAAAAAGAAATGAATTGAATTTAAACTATTTACATCATGATACGATATTGTTTACAGATAATGATTCTAAAAGGTACAAATATTAACGATAGTCTAACAGTTACATAAAGAGCAGTTACATGCGTCAAATTTTACAATTACAAATTACAAATTTTTTAAGGGTCGGAGAAGTTCTTAGTTCATCATTTAGAGAGTTCCAGATTTTTGGTCCGTAGTACCTAAAGGTGTTTAGTCCATACTTGGTGGTGATAACTCTGGGTTGTACAAGAATCAATTCGCCCCGTAAATTACGTGATTTACTTCTAAGCGTCAGCAGATTGCGAAGTGGAGTAGGTGTTATTCCATGAATGACTTTATAGATAAGAATACACATGTCCAGGACTATCCTGTCGTGCAGAGAAGGCATGTTTGCAGTTTCCAGTAGAGTAGCATAAGTATTAGCATTGTCATTAAAAATTAATCTTAGAGCCCGCTTGTTCAGTTTTTCAAGTTTGTCTGATGCCGTTTTTCCACAGTGCATCCACACTGTGGAACAATAGGTGAAATGAGGTAAAATATAAGCCTTATATAGCGTGAGTTTAGTTTGGATGCTTAACAA